ATGTCCAATATATTTTGTGGGAAAAGGTATGTGTGTGTGAATAGTTATTCCTTCCATTATACATACATACATATATATATTATATATATATATATATATATATATTACATATATATTATATATATAATATATATACATATATATATATTTCTACTTCAAACAGAAACTAGCCCTAGCTATTCTCTAAAAGAAGTGTGTGTGTTACTATATTTAAATATATAATATATAAATATATTTGCAAGACAAGTCTTTCCCCCTAAAGCATAGTGTGACAAAATTGAATTCTGAAGTCTTTATTTTCTAGTGAATTTATCTTTTATTTTAATGCAAGTCCTCTGAATCATCCGGTTTGGGGATTGTCTATAAACATGAACTTAACCCTTCAAACACTAAATATAAGAACCCTAATCAGGGGCAAAGGAGTAGACATACTATTGAAGGACTGACTCAGACTTAAAACAAGAGGATGTTATTAGCTTAAAACAAGCTAATTAAAGGATCTTGAATTCATCCTTGGAGAGGCATAGTTGGAATAATTCGTTTTACTACCCCCAAAGAAATGTTATTTTAGGAAATATCATCTCAGTGCTTGTGATAAGCTTTGGCAAAAAGGCTGACATGAAAATAACTACAGCTTATGCACCAATGTGTGTTAGAGGATGACAGCAGAAAAATTCTACCAAAAAAAATCAGTAAACTAAATTAAATGAATATCTATTTGGTGGCCTCAATGCAAAGGTGGACATAAGGGAGAATAACAAAAAAAGTATTAGGAAAACTCAGTTTAGGAATAAGAAATGAGAGCAATCTTATAGAGTTTTTTTCTTTTAAAAAGTTTTTTTAGGCAATTGGGGTTAAGTGACTTGCCCAGGGTCACACAGCTAGTAAGTGTCAAGGGTTTGGTCTGAGGCTGGATTTGAACTCAGGTACTCCTGACTTCAGGGCTGGTGCTCTATCTACTGCACCACCTAGCTGCCTCATTTTTTTTTAAATCAGCAAAAAATATACCTTCCCTCTTTCTCACCTCATCTACCTAAATTGAAAACAAAAAACAAAACCACTATTACAAACATGTATAGTCAAGCAGTCATAAAATGTAATTCCTAGAGCTGAACATAATAATTTAGACTAGGGAGTAGGAGACAGCTAGAGTACTGGGTTTGAAGTCAGGAACGAGTGCTGCATTTAGAGTCAGGAAGATCTGAGTTCAAAATTGGCCTTAGACACAATATCCGTGTGAACCTAGACCTCTTTGCCTCAGTTTTCATATCTATAAAATGGGGATAATAGCATTCTACCTCATAGAGTTGTTGTGAGGATCAAATGAGATAATTGTAAAGGGCTTAGCACACTGCCTGGAACATAGCAGGTGCTATATATATGTTAGTTATTATTATTATTATTAGGATTATCTCTTACTTAGTACTGGATATCATGTTTCTCAGTGTAGCTTAAAACAGTTTTAGCTTTTTGTCTGCCAAATCATACAATTGACTCATATTGAGTTTGTGATAAACTAGATCCCCAAGGTTTTGTTTTGATGTAATGCCATGCCTCTCCAATATTTTTTTTAAACTGAAATCTAAGATCTTACAGTTTCCCTATCCAATTATTCTTTAGTTTTAGTCCCAACATTCTACCCTGTCAAAATCTTTTTGAAGCTGGACTGTGTCATCTAACTTATCAGCTATTCCTCTAGCATTCAGTTACCTGAAAATTGGATAAGAAAGCCACCAAGCATGGGGCAGCTAGGTGGTGCAGCCGATACAGCATCGGCCCTGAAGTCAAGAGGACCTTAGTTCAAATCCGGCCTCAGACCAAACGCTTGACACTTACTAGCTGTGTGACCCTGGGCAAGTCACTTAACCCCAATTGCCTAACCAAAAGAGAAAAAAGCCACCAAGCCACCTATCCCTTTACCCACATCACTGATTTAAAAAAAAAAAAGCACTCAGCAGCATAGGATCAAGAACAGATCATTAGGTCCTTCCAAGTTCACAGTAAATTACAAATGACTACTTTTGGTTTTGGCATTCAACTAGTATTGAATTCACCTGATTGTACTACTATGGTACGAACATTACCCTGGACAAAGCAAAATGACTGTATTTACTGACATACAATAAACCTTTCAACTTTTTATTTCTTAAGAACTTTTAATATACAATGCCTCCTTCTGCTGAAATCATTTGTTTCTACATTACTTGGCACCAAGTTCACAAAATTTTGACATGTTCTTTAATTCTTTATCATGAAATCAGACTTTTTATCAGCTGGAAATATGAACTGGAGTTCTAGAGAAAAATGGGGGTAAAGATATCAGTTTTGGAGCCACCTTAACAGAGCTGCTAACTAATGTGTTTCATTTATATCAGAAATCTCTCTAAAAAAGTTCTCCCAATAGCACACAATACTGGACTTTGGGGAGGTTTCTTCTGTAAACATGATCTATAATAATTGACTTACATGATACTTTAAAGTTTGCAGAACACTTCCAGTATTTCAATGGATCCTTACAACAAACCTCTGAGGTAGGTACTACAGTTAGTAATATCCCCATTTTACAGATGGAAAGACTAAAGTGCAGAGAATTTAATGATTTGCCCGTGTTTGCACAGCTGTCACAAGCAGGACTTGACTTTAGCTCATTCTGATCTAGCACTCTATCCACTAGACCACACTGCCACTCCATCCCTCACATATCTACAACCTGATTCTTTACATTGGGTCTTTCTGACTACCCTACAAGTACGTTCCTGTCTCTTCAACACTAAAATTAAACCTGCCTTTGACCCTGCAGTTGCTTCAGGTCGTCATCTTCCTAAACTCCTAGAAAAAGCATTTTCCACTCCTCAAGCCCTTGTAAATTGGCTTTCCTTCCTACCAACCTACCTAAACCATGCTCTTCACAAGTACTTAACTTCTTTAGCAAATCCAATGGCCATTCTTCTCTCATGGCCCATTACTCTGACACATGACAGCCTGGAACCCATCTTCATTCTTACTATTCTAAGCTCCCATGCCTTCTGTAAACACTCCACTTGGATGATTTTTCAATTTCTTCCCTCTTTTGCTGGCTCTTCATTCTCAACTTTTAATTACAGGTGTTGTCTTAGGCACCTTTCTCTTTATATATACGTTTGTGTATATGTATTTATTTCTCTGATTTTATTTGCTCTTTTGACTTCAGTATCTACACAAATCACTCCCAAATTCATTATCTTCACTTCCAATTTCCTTGAACTCTAATCCTATATTCCTAACTGCCTATTTCATGTCTAAAATGAAACTCATCTTCTATATTTTTCACCCTCACTTCTTTCAGTTAGTGAGATCAGTGTCTTCGGATTAAAAACTTTGGTGTCATCTTTAACTTTTCTTCTTCAACCCATACATCATCCAGTCAGTTCAGAATTCTTGTCATTTCTACCTCAACACTTAGCTCTCACATCTGGCCTCCTGTCCACTACACTGCAATCACCCAAATTCAAATCCTATGCAGGTAGGTGGAGCAGTGCAGCTGGGCCTGGAATCCAGAAGACTCATCTTCCTGAGTTCAAACCTGGCTTCAGACACTAGCTGTGTGGCCCTAGGCAAGTCACTTAACCCTGCTTGCCTCAGTTTCCTCATCTGTAAAATGAGCTACAGAATGAATGGCAAACCATCCCAGCATCTTTGCTAGAAAAACCCCAAATAGGGGAAAAATGACTAAACAACAAAACCTTTTTTGCCTTGTCTATCCATTACTGAAACCATCCTCCACACTGCTGCCTATATAATCTTCTTAACCAACTGCTATATCACTTCTCTATTTAGAACCCTTTAATGGATTCCCAAACTTCTCACCTAACTATCCAGTCTTATCTCACAGTATTCCCCATTCAAAATTTCTACATTCTAACCAAAATATACTATTTTGCCTCTTGTTCACATGCTGCTTTTATTCTGTCTTTGCTCATGCAGTTTACCCACATATGGAAGACTCTCCTCGCCTGTTATATCTGTTGGATTATGTTGAAATTCCTTCATTACTTTAAGGTTCAAACAATGTATCTTCTCCACAAAGCCTTCCCTCACCCATCTCAAAGTGATTTCTTCAAATTTCTTATATCATTTTCTTCAAACCCTATTGTTATCAGTTTCCTGTATACTTCTTTTCTTTCCCGCACCTCTATGAATTATATACTCCTTAAGAGCAATGGCTTCAAACTTAAATAGAAAGAGCCATTAATCTGTTCATAAGGATCTCTGTTGGCCAAATACTGACAATTTTAAAATGTAATGTTATCTGTATTTGATTGTATTTTTATTTTGTTATTTTCTAATTACATTTTAATCTGGTTCCTATGTTTGACCCTTCTGCTTAAGATGGCCTTTGTTGTATCCTATCTTGTACAACACAATGCCCTGAATATCACAGGAACTTAATGTTTGTTGAATAAAATTAATGGACAGTATTGTATTTACAATGTGAAGATTAATGTTTAACTCCCAATTGTCAATGACTAGCAGTGACACTAAATAATTCACTCAAGTTCTTTTAGGTTTGGCTTCACCATCTGTAAAATGGGGATCCTGCAACTTACAACTCCCTACCTCACAGGATTGTTGTGAAAATGGCATTCTATAAATAGCAAAGCACTGGATATGTGGGAGCTATTACACATGCAAACAGATCTGTGATCTGACTGATGTGAACATTATTTCTAACAGTACAGACCACAACCCATCCATGCCCACTCATGAAACAAAGAGAATTTATCATTGTCTAAATAGTCTTTAACTGGATTCTTGACGATATGCCAATGCCAAAGTTAGCCTAGTGAGACACAGCTAGCCTTCAGTTCCTCAACAGATGCATCACTTCCAGTTATTTGGGAAACTATGGCTGAAAACAATGGCAAAAGTGGTGAGAAAGTTTAATACAAAAAAGGAAAAAAATCCGGCTTTCCTACAATTAACCACCCCCCTGCCCCCACGAAAACATATAGAACAAAGGGTTTTGTGGTACAGCACGGAATTTTTTATTAGGTTTACCTAATAAAAGAAAAAGATATATGAAAAGATCACATTTTGTAAAAGTTATTAATAACAAATTGCATGTTATTATAGGTTCATTTCCCCAACAGGATGTAATTTAAGCAATTACAGTATATGCTTTTAACATGGTTCAGACTAATGTAAATTAATCACAAAATTATATAATGGGCCCCTATGGGAGCACAGAGATATAATTTGAGGCCTCAGAAGAAAAGCTAAGTCAATAGGTAATAAGTTAGAACAAATCTACTTATGTTCTGCCATGTTACAATCTTCTCTGGCTAATTTACTAGAGGACAAAGTTTCGTGCATTTTTCAAACCCCACTGAGATCAGCCATAAATAATTTAAGCTTCAAATGATTATGATGGAAGTTTAGAAGACTACAAAATATGGGTTCAAATTTATGAATGTTGAGCCTTTAGAAATTACTTCGATGTTCAACTAAGTGAATTCTGGTGTATTACCCAGAGTCACTCTTCCATTACTATTACAAGACAACTTAAAAAGAGACATTCTAACATAAAAGTCCACTTACAGCCTTTTAATTTCTACTATCATTTGGGGAATCTGATTTTTCTAAATGTTATAATTACATAACTATGTACAAAGCAACCAAGATTGATAACCAGCTTTGAAAAAAATAAATTAAAATTACACCAACTTATTTGTGTACAACTATTTTACCTTTACTAAGATTCTGATGCACAATGACCATTCATGAAAGCACTAGAGCTCTAAGACAGCAAATGCCTATATTCCAAGGTAGAATCAATCCCCAACTCTTTTCATTTCCACTTCCTGAAGTCAACTGTAGCTCTAAGACATTTTAAAATTTACTTTTTCATATGAAAATCATCACAACTTTTTTTAAGTCTCATTCTTTTCCTTTTCCTTTCTAGGGTAACTTCCAGCTCTTTCTAAGGCCCATTACACAAATCACAGGGCAGCAAGTCCCTTAATGACAGGCTGATATTGAAAATGGAAAAAAGAAAAATCCAACGTAGAAACACTTGACTGACACAAAGGCTAGTATTTTTTCATTTCAGGCTAAATTCCTGAATTTAGATGACCTACTAGAAACTGTTTATAAAGCATCCTACATTTTTTGAGGAAAAACCAAGTTTATGAATGAAGAATGATGCACACCTCCCAGAACTGGTACGCTGATATTTTATGACATGTAATTTGATGAAGGCAAAGGTCCTCAAAGTCTATAAAATAGTACCTAAACTAGCAAAAAATTGCAAAGAAGTGGTGCAAATGATGTCATAAAAGTATGAATAAAAAACATGAGCTATACCCACAAGGAGAATAGGATATACAATAGAAAAACATGCTCTGCTGGTATCTTGCTACATCAAGAGAACATTAGGAAGGTTTCTAGCATATTGGGTAAAAATTCACTCCAGTGGTGAATTTATGGAAGGGCATGGATAAGGCCACACAGGTTGAAGAGGCATGAATGGGTCAGATGGTATATGTATCACAGGAGGGAATACTCACAGTAATGAGATAAACTATCTAGTCAAATACTGAAGTATTATTGATAAAGAAAACCAAATTCTAAACACCTTCATAAACACAGAATAATCATTACTATAGGCTCATATTTAGACTTTAAAATAAGTCAATTCATAAGCAGACTCCCAGTTATAAGATACCTAAATGCACAGACACACCCTTCTTTTTGCTTCCTAAACTAAATATAATTTCAGGGGATATTATAAGGAAGTGGTAATTGATTAGAGACAATAAAAACAAAGATCCATGACAAATAAGTCTTAGGTATCTGGGAAAGTCAACTGGGTAATGTGGTATATAATAAGAGCTACTCAAATAGAACTTTAAATGTGGACAGTATACGACTAGCCAAATCATCGACTATGAGTTGAAATGAATTAGAATTAAAAAAAAAAGAAACCCCAAAACATAGTAAAAGAACATTGGACTTGAAGTTAGGACTCCTGCATTGTGTGAGCGACTAATTCTGTGTCAGTTTCTTCATTTTTAAAAGTAAGAGACTGGATTACATAATGTCTAGATGTACCTTTCTGTTCTAAAATTTATTTCTATCATCAATTCTAGTAAGCCTCTTATTTTTCAGTTTAAGCAGGACACAAACATACCACTAATTTGAATTTTATCTTCCTCATGAGATGTTTTTGTTTCCAAGAAACTTGATAGGATAGGTAGGCAAGGTAACAGAGCTTACACCTTGAAAACTGGAATCAACGAGAAAAAGTTTAAGGCTGGCACCCATAGCTGATCAAAGAGATCACCATAACTGCTGAATTGACAACTGTCACCTCTGGGGGAAAAAAAAGTTAATGAAAGATGTGAAACTAAAACAAACTATCCCACATGAAAAAAAGCATATTTTTTTTGTATTTTATTTAATGATGAATCTAAGTTATAAAACATCTGCTATTGAAATCTCTTCTATATATTATAATATAACCTTGTAAACATTCACGTAAATGCCTGCCACATAATTGCTTCATTATTTAACTCTTCAGTTATCTTCTCTTTCTTACATTAGGATTATATCTGTAAGGAAAGAAAAAGAAGTCAAAATGACCTAAAAATGCATTCCTTTTACTTTGAAATATACAAGTGATTAAAGATTTTTTCAGCAGGGTAAGCAAGGAAGGAGTTTTAATTTTGCTTTTGTCACAAAGAGAAAGAGAGGCCATTGCAAAGAACCATAGTTTCTCCAATCTGAGAGTTCCCAATATATCCCAGGACCAGTCCCTATTCCTATCCCTATCCTTATCCCTAATAATTAAACGTGGCCATCTGACTGTCCACTTTTCTGTATTCCACTGCTTCACCTGTAAATTGTGACAATCACTACTTAAAACAAAAAAGAAAACACCACCTTTAAAAGGTAACTTAAAGTCAATACACATCTCCCCTAGGCTTTAAAAGTTAAGGTTGAAAATTGCCCACATATAGATTCAGCTCATAAGCTACACAAGTCCTATGAAGAGTTTAATCAAAAGCATAAATGAACACTCCCCAAAACGTTAATATGTTTTCTTATAGCAAAAAAAAAATTGGGCAGCTGAGCATGCAGATACCCCCTTTATAGAAGATTTCTTTTGAGGGAACAAAACAAAACAAAACATAAAATCTCCACAGAATTATGTTCTCCTCTGGAGGAAAAAAAATTTAAACACTTTTATTAAAAAACCTTTTTGTTCCACGTTTTAGAAAACGTTATAAAATTATACTTCCCTGCATATATACCTCCAACTTTTATTTAATGATAGTTAAGAGAACATTTGATAAGAGAAGTAAATTTTTATTATGCCCTTAGGAATGTGTTGAATAAGAATTAAATCACAGCCAATCTTAAATCCCTCCCCACTAAAAGCCAATTCTAATTCTAATATAGCCTTTTGTTTTCATGCATGAGCAACTTAAGGCTAAACAAATGATCTGGTATTTAACATGCTTTAAGTCAGAACTCATTCGTTAATGCTTTTGCTTAGACATGAAAATGTCACAACTTATCAGCCAAATTACAATACTAGTAGATTAAAAGTGTTAGCCTAGTGCCATTTATTTTATTTTGGGGGCTCTAGACCACACAAAAATTTAAAGTATGTTGTGGCATATATCATAACTGATATATCTCCAGTTGAGACATATCTTATAACTGACGTATAGCAGGCTCCAGAATCTAAAGGAAGCTTGCTTTAGAGACTCTAAACTTAGGCTAAGCAGAAAAAGAAAAAAATGAACAAATTTATCCGGAATTTCAGAAAGTGAAAATAGATCAGTATGGTGAGTTCTTGAAATTTTGCATAGTGGTATCTTCTCATAAAAAAAAGCTTGTATGTAAGATATTTTGTGTGTATGTGTATACATATGTGTATATATAACACATACATACACAGACACATGCACACAAATATATGTAAACTATTATTATTACTGCTGTGATGAGGATGAAAACAGATGCGTACACAACACACTACTTCAAAGCTACAAACTGGGGCCATATGTATTAAGTATTTGCTTTGAAATAACATACTTGAAAGCACTAGAAACCTGTAATAAACAAAAGTTTACCGAAAGAGATCATCAGCAAGTGATTCTTCTTTTGCATGTTTGTTCTGTACCTACCAAAATAAAAAGAGTTTTAAAATTTTGCCCTATGGTGAATATTCAGTTTGTTAATTCTGATCAATATCTCTTTCTTGTTTATAATCTTTCCACTATTTTCTATATATTCAAAAGAACATTAATAAGGTAACTATTTTATAATGTACTCAGTACAAACATCATCAGAACTGTTTATTTTTATATACCACAGCAGAACTTATGAAATAGCAACTCTCCAGTAACTGCTTTTTTTTTTTTGAGAGGAGGACAAAAGTTAGAGCTTTGGGACCTGAAAGACTCAAAACTGAAATCAGTATCACTGAAGTATCAAGAGTTATTACACTTGATTGCGTGTGTGTGTAGAGAATAAAATGACCCTAAATTCATAAAAATTGTGAACCAATCAAGTAGCTATAAAATCTAAGCCATGTATGTTTTGGAGTGCATAAAAAGAAGGAGTGAAGTAATAAAAAGATCAATGAGAAGAGAAGTAGAGAACAGATAAACCACAATGGGACAAACAGCAGCAAGAACAGCTGGGAACAACTGAAACAAACTGAGAAAGATGGTAAGATATCAAAAGAGAAGAGATAGAGAGATAAACAACAGCAAGGAGAACAAAGAGAAAAGGATGGTTGTGAGTGGTGACAAGGCAAGTTCGAATTTGGCAGACCAGACTAGGAGCAGAGCTGGCTAGACCCTGTGCCAAGTTTAGTATAACAGTTCTTAGATTACACTACACCACGTCAAAATCTGTAAATTAACAGACGCAGAGTAGCTCAGGAATATGATGCTACTTTCTTTACACAATCCTCCTTATACCTAATAAATAAATATTGATGAAAAGCTACTGTGAATATTAGCTTAAGTGCTAGGATAAGTGTGTTTGGTATCTCTGTACCCTCAGGCAATACTAGTTTTTTTTTAAACTTGTTTTGCTGTATTATTTTCTTAACCTAAATGGCTCGCAGCTGTAAATACTAATGTCTAAATAAAGTGATGGACAGATAATAGCTCTGACATTTCTTATCTGGTGAGGATTAATATATATTTTTAAAAGACTAAGTCTGCCCATCTCACCCAGGCTGTCAATGTGGGGGCTACTAACAGGTTTGATTCCACCAACGATCAGCATGATAGCTTAGATGTTCTCTGTTTCTGACCTACACTGGTCTTTGTTACTCAGGCAACCTAGTGGCCCCCTACTTCTCACTGCTCATTATATTGATGCCAAACCCCAGAGAGATACCTGATTGGCACAGCCCAGTGCAGGTCAGAAGAGATCCACCAGCTAATAAGATCCCTGGGGGCAGCTAGGTGGTATAGTGGATAGAGCTCCAGCTTTGGAGTTGGGAGGATGTGAGTTCAAATCTGGCCTCAGACACTTGACACTTACTAGCTGTGTGACCCTGGGCAAGTCACTTAACCACGACTGCCTCACCAAAAAGCAAATAAATAAATAAATCACTGGGAGCTGGGTATAGCTGTGTGCCACCACTCCAGCCATGAGAATTAACCTATAACTAAAACTCATGGCATTTTCCTGAGAATAAGTGGAGATCACTTATTTTTGTTTGAAAATTTTTTGTTTGAAAATCTGATGTAAGAACACCACAAAAGAACAAAATAGAGATTAAAATAGATATATAACATGATTTATTACTGACCTCTATTTCTTGTCTTAACCACTCTTCTAATTCCGCATTCTTTCTAGCATGATGAGCTATTAGGTCAGAGCCTCCAATGATGCACGGAAGTTTTCCTGACCCAGGATAAGCTACCTATCAGGCAAAAAAGGTCCAAAATTATTACAACATTTTAATAGTATCACTGTAATAATAAAATACATTATCAAAGTGAGACTATGATATTTTCAAAAGAACTTGATGGAAAAGGGCCATTAACTTTACAGAGAAGAGCTATGTAAATGAAGTTTATTTCAGTTGTTCTGAAAAACTGTAGCTTAAGATACTTTACCAAGACAGAATCAATATCAATGATACTATTTGAAATCAGTGAAAAAATACTAAATCTCCAGTAGTCAAAACAGTACTTGGGTATTTGATTGCATTTTGAGATCTGTGAAGTTTTATATGATGATTTTTTTCTATAAGTTTTTTCAAAGAGTTTCTAATTTTTCAACTATTACTATTACCATGACTGCTTTAGAGTAATTCAGAACATATGAGTTCCTGATAAGCTCAGGGAGATACATATAATTTTTTTCTTGTGCTTTTACTATTTAAAAAATTTACATAATTTGTTCATTTTCATTAAATTACTATCTATCACTGGATGTTTCTGTGATATGAGTTATGGCATAAAATTTTCAACTAGAAAAATTTTCAATATTTTTACAGCTGCTGAAACTCAATTTGGCATGACCCTTTAAAGGTAGCTTCAGAACTTACATGATAGAACACATCCAAGAATAAAAAGTGCAATACATTCACTTGTAGATGAAATTCAAAGTACTGGATTCTCCTCTAAAGTCTAAAACATTTCAGCCCAGATCCTCAAAATGTTTCTATTCCTTGACTTGCGTACTAGGAGAATAATGTTTTCATAAAGTTCGAAGCAACTCCAAAAATTTAAAATGACTTTTAAAGTATTTCTGCATATTAAAACAAATGCTATGATAGGCAAAACAGAAAGAAATGCAATTGAAGCATACAACTGAGAGCATAACTAGGCACCAATAAATAAATCCTTAATACTTATAAGGCATCTATCTATTCTATACCCATCCTCCTCTATCCCTCCCCCCCAAAAAAAACCCCACCCAAATACTGAGTTTATAGATTGGCTGACTGAAAGAAGAAAATGTAGAATCAGTCACAATCAAGCAGCAATTCTGAAACACTCAATGTACAGGTTGTCCTTAGCTGCAGATACACAGAACAAGTTAGACACCAAGTACAGTGCAGATTAATGTTAAAGCATATCACTGCTTTCATTTACTAGCAATGGCTCCTACTGAAGCATTTCAAACAGTGCTCTCTTGTGATATATTAAAATAAATACCTACCTTTTTGAATTTCTTGAAGTTGTTTAGCTCTCCATAATCATTTCTTATAATTGATGTATTTCTGGATCCAGGGTGACTAACCACCAGTGATCTAAATTCAGTCAATAAAAGCTTCTTGGGAAGCATCTCACCACCATCTTGAAGTTTGTCATTCTTAAGTGGGGTTGAAAAAAAAAAGACATATGAAGAAAGAAGAAATTATATAATTATTTTAAAATTAAAGTTTCTTATAGATATGAAAATATAAAAATCTAGGATTTTTTATATTAATATATGGAGAAATCAGATCTAAATAGGTAACTGTATAAATTCCCATCATCTCCAGTCAATTTTTCATTAGATTTAAAAACCAAATTGTATTTATCCACATCCTCTGTATCTTCCTTTATACTTATGAGGCATTTATACCTCCTTCAGATATGGATGGATGAGGACAGAAAATGCCAATCAGTTTAGGGGCTATAAGGTTTTTAACTTCGGTAGCATTCTTCTCATTTTTCCCTTTTTTTTGGTGTTCTCTTCCACTACTTATTCAAGAAACCGATCATTTACTATCCAGGTTAAGTTCTAAAGGATAACACAAAACAAAAGATAAATAAAACAAGCTCCTTACCCTCAACAGCTTAAGAAACCTAACATTAGTTTGAATAATTTAGTCTAATTAACAATAATTAATTAATATTAAATACCTACATGAATAACTGGAAAGCCAGTGACTAGGGATTTTGCTTCTAGAAGACAAGGAAAAAACTTCCAATGACTATCACAGAGAGAAGGACTTTTAAGTATCTTTTATCAATGCGGATCTATAGTCACAAGCCAAGATGCATCAGGGGCAGGACTGGTACCCAGATCTCCCCAGCTCTGAGGCTGGCTTTCTGCCTACTACACTATAATTCGGGATCCCAATAGATACCAGAGAGTACACAATGTTTATCTTTCTGTGATGGCCAAGTAACTAATTTCCCAGTTCAAAATGTAGGCTTATCTCCCTGCTAGAACAGAGGGTTAAAGATACTTGAAGAAGTCAAGTTATTCAGAGAATGAAATATTCCTTAAATATGAAAGAAAGGTTTCAAAGTAAAAACAAAGAAGTAAAGTATAACTTATTCAAAAGTAACCAAAAAAGGGGGAGGGAAGAGGGAACTCTCTGGACGAGAGACTGTACTGTTAGGTAAATAACTAAAGGAGGTAAATAATAAAAATAAAGTACCATATATACACCAAAATATTTACAGCAGCTTTTTGGTTTTGGTAGTAACAAAGAATTGGAAACAATGTTGTTGTTTGTCCTTCATTTTCTTTTCTTTCTTTTTTCTTTTTGGCTAGGCAATGGGGTTAAGTGACTTGCCCAGGGTCACACTGCTAGTAAGTGTTATGTGTTTCAGGTCGGATTTGAACTCAGGTCCTCTTGACTCCAAGGGCGCTCAATCCACTGCACCACCTATCTGCCCATTGTCCTTCATTTTCAAAGAGGACCAATGACATTATGGGATGATGTCTTGACTTGAGCATGAATTAGATATAAGTGAGGCAGAGCTGCAATAAAGTCATCAGCCACACTCTCTTTTCCAGAGTCACTGAAGTCCACTAGCAGGGCAAAAGTAAAAATGACTGGAGATGGGCCCAGGGTGAGGTAGATGACCTTGGAGTCTTTGATGTCTGACCACACTCAAAAGTGCTCCACAGCACCTACTTCAGCCACTCCTACGGCCATTGGAACAAACTATTTTCATCCACCATTCCACCAGGGGAAGCATTCACATGCTTGGGGTAGACACCTTCCTAACTCACCAATGGGCAGTTACCTTAATGGTTTAGCCAGTCTGCCAACACAGTTTTACTGTGGTGTGGCTGCTGCACATGCTACAGCTTCTTGGAACCACAGATAAGTGCCAGGTTGACACCAAAGTTAGACAAGCAGCCTTGAAAAGGGCTTGGCAAACCCTCACACCAGAGGTGCTAGTCATCCCTGAATATCCCACATACCCCAGAAAGAACAGAGACATGCATTAACTGAGGACAGCTAAACAGTATACAAAATGATGTAGTAGTATCAGTAATACACAAGACATATCATACAAATATAATGGAATATGGCTGTGTTATAAGAAACAATGACAGGGGAGGAGCCAAGATAGTGGAGTAAAAGGAGAGACTCATCTGAGCTCTCCCCCAAATATCACTCCAAATACCTTTAAACATGACTCTAAACAAATTCTAGAGCAGCAGAACCCACAAAAAGACAGAGTGAAACAAATTTCCAACCCAAGACAACTTGGAAGGTCAGCAGAAAAGTCTGTTGTACCAGGGTGAGAGAGGCGTGCAGTCCAGTTCAAGGCCATGCAGCACAGACAGGACACCAGCAAACCAGGAGCAGGCCTCAGGGCAACTGAATCACTGGCAGCAGTGGCAGTTTCTAGACCTCTCAGCCCACACACGCCAAAGATAATTTGGAAAGTTAGCAGAAAGGGTCTGTCCCACCTTGGTGAGAGTGGAGCACAAACCAGAAGCAGGCTTTGGGAGCCACTGAATCACTACAGGTGTGAGTTGAATATGAAGGGATGATATTTAAAAAATAAAATTAAGGACTGAGAAAGGAATGTATTGGGAGAAAGAGAAAGGGAGGGGCAAAACAGGGTAAATTATCTCACATAAAAGAGGCAAGAAAAAGTTTTTACAGTAGAGGGGAAGAGGAGGAAGTGAACTTATTCTCTTTAGAATTGGCTGAAAGAAGAAATAATATACAAACTCAATTGGGTACAGAAATCTAACTTACACTACAGGAAAGCAGGAGGGGAAGTGGATGGGGGGGCGATAGAAAGGAGGGCAGATTGGGGAACGGGGTAGTCAGAAGCAAAGCACTTTTAAGGGGGGACAGAGTGAAAGTAGAGAGAGAATAGAACAAACGGAGGTGATAGGATGGAGGGAAATACAGGTAGCTATAGTAACTGAAAAATATTTTGAAGCAATGAAGCTCTGATAAAGGCCTCATTTCTCAAACACAGAGAACTGAGTCAAATTTATAAAAATAAGAGTCATTCCCCAATTGATAAATGATCAAAAGAAATCAGGTTTCAGATGAAGTAATCAAAGCTATCTATAACCATATATAAAAAAATACTCTAACTCACTACTGACTGGAGAAATGCAAATTAAAACAATTTTGAGGTACCACCTCATATCTATTAGACTGGCTAATAGGACAGAAAAAATGAACGACAAATGTTGGAGGGGATGTGGGAAAAAGAGACATTAATGCATTGTTTGTGGAGTTGTGAACGGATTCAACCACTCTGTAGAGCAATTTGAATCTATGCCCAAAGGGCTTTAAAACCATGCATGCCCTTTGATTAAGTAATGCCACCCCTAGGTCTGTATCCCAAGAGATAAAAAACAAAAAGGAAAAGGACCTATATGTACAAAAATATTTATAGTAGCTCACTTTTGGGGGCAAAGAATTAAAAATTAAGGGGATGCCCATCAATTGGAGAATGACTGAACAAGTTGTGGCACGTGATTATGATGGAATACTATTGTACTGTAAGAAATGATGGGCAGGATGCCTTCAGAAAAACTGGGAAAGGGGCAGCTAGGTGGCAGAGTGGATAGAGCACCGGCCCTGGAGTCAGGAGGACCTGAGTTCAAATCCAGCTATAGACTAAATACTTGACACTTACTAGCTGTGTGATCCTGGGCAAGTCACTTGACCCTAATTGCCTAAAAAACACCCAAACAAACAAGCAAACAAAAAAAAACTGGGAAAGACTTGCATGGGCAGAGCATGCAAAGCAAAATGTACTGTGTACAAAGTAACAGCAATATTGTAAGATGATCAGCTGTGAATGACTTACCTATTTTCAGCAATACAATGATCCAAGACAACTCTGTGATGAAAAATACTACCCATCCCCAGACAAAGAATTGACAGTATCTGAATACAGATCGAAGCATACTTTTTTAAACTATATTTTTTCTTGAGTTTTCTTGTCTGTTTTTTTCCCCCAACATAACTATTATGGATATGTTTTGTCTAACTACACATTTGACCTGTACTGCTTGTCTTCTAAACGAAAGCAGGGTGGAGGGAGAGGAAGGGAGGGAATTTGGAACTCAAAGTTTCCAAAACAAATGTTAATTATTTTTACATGTAACTAGAGAAAAAGAAACAGAAAGAATGATAAAGACAAATACAGAGAATCAGTGGAAGACTTCCATGACTTGACACAAAGTAAGCAGAACCAAGAAAGCCATACTCATCATGACTACACAATATAAATGGAAGGAACAAAAACAACATAACAACTAAAACTGAAAGCTAAGAAATTACAATGACCAAGCTAGGCCACAAAGAGAAGGTATGCCTTCTCTTCCTCCCCTTATTCTTTATAGAAGTAGAGGATTATGAATGTATAACACTTACATGTCAAGACTTTTTTGATGCATTCGTTTTGCTGAATTGTTTTTCTTTTTAATGGTTATTAACGATAGTACCTTGAGGAGAGATATAATGGGAAATATAAATGATGTAAAGGACAAAAGATATACTCATGTGGGAAAAAATGGGAACCATAGAGGGGAAATATTATAGAAAGTATCTGGTTGAAAGTTACTGAAAGGAGAAAAAAGAACTCCTGTACAAAGGAGGTCTAGGAAATAGATCACTGCCACAGGCTTGAAATGGAGATCTGATAAAACAATGTTGAGGGGCATTATCTATATATTTGTAGTTCTTCTGCCAAAAGTATGTACGTATACAGCAGCCAATAATTTCCTGGCCTCTCAATAATTATTTTACTTTCAAATGGTAGAGGAAGTAACAGGGAGATCATATTCTGGATTCTATTTTCACCAGCAAGGAGAAAATGCAAGCTTAAGTAGTAATGATTAGAACCTTGGGGGCAAATGACTATTCTATCTTATAACTTGTGATGGAAGACAGTGGTTTGATAAGTACTCTTGATATCTGGAAAGCAGATTTCAACAGGTGGTCTAAAAAATATTTATGACCAATTGGTCAAGGATGGACAGGTAGGTATCAAGAATGAAGTTCTAAAGACGCAAGAGAAATAATTCTGGGGAGACAGAAAAAAGTTTTCAAAAAAAAACCCAATTAAGTGCATGTAGAGTCATCAACCAGTTCACATTTTTTTTTAAATGCACAGAAAATGGAAGCAAGGGCAGGTAATAGAGACTGAATGAATATAAATACATGATATGGTTCTGTAAGAACAATGTTAGGAATTCTAAAACTCAAATTGAGCTGAAGCTGGCAGGGAATACTGAGGACAACAAAAAAGATTTCTTACTTCTTAAGCTATTATCAGGGAAAAGAAGGGGATCAAAAAAAGGATGAGACCACCACTCAAGGTAGATGGGACAATAGCAGATAACTGAAATATTAATTTTGCTTCATTTTCTCTACCAAGGAAAATAATCTTTACATCAGAATATTAAATGGCTAATAGAGGGTTGAACTGGATCAGTAGGGAGGTAGCAAAGCTCAAGCTGATTGCCTTTGATGAGTTTAAGTTACCAGGTCCAGATGAACTACATCTTGGATTCTAAAAGAAGTAAAAGAGGTGCTCGCTGAACCACTATCATGAATCTCCAATGGAAATGTGGAAAATGGAGCTACCACTGATTGAAGGAGGGCAACCATTATCCCAATGTTTAAAAAAAGGGAACAAAACGGAAGTCTGATACAAAAGGCAAATGACTTTGACTTCAATTCCTAGCAGAATTCTACAACATGTGATTAAGGGGTAGTGAACATTGCTTCATCATAAAACAGTTCATGGTAGGCTAACCTCATTTCCTTTTTGGGCACAGTTATGAGATTATTAAATCAGGGGAATAATGTAAATATAATTTAGATTTTGGCAAAATGTTTGACAATAAGTAGGATGATAGAATATACATCTACACAAGATCTTGAGAGCACTAGATATTTGTCTATACTATTAAGATAATATTTTATTAGGGATATGGTCTTATACTAGGGCTCATATAATCAAATCTTAAATGTAAACTATCAACAAGCATGTGAAAAAAATGGTCCAAACAAAAGAAATGTTACAAGAAATGCCAATTAAAACAACTCTGAGGTTTCGCTTAACACCCATCACTTTGGCAGAGATGATAAAAGACAGAAACATTGGGGTATCTGCAAGGAGAGAGTATAACTGGTAGAGATGTGAATTGGTACAATCCTTCTGGAAAACAACTTAAAATCATGAAAAAAAAATCATTAAAATGTTCATTCCCTCTGATTGACAGAGCTCAGTACTGAGCATGTACTCCAAGGTAGTCACAGAAATATATTAAAAATATTTGTAAGCAGCATTTTTGTGGTGGCAAAAAACTGGAAACAAAGTGGGTGCCAACTTATTGGGGAATGGATAAACAAACAGTGGTGTATGAATTATAATAACTTTCATTTATGAAGTGCTTTAAAGTTTGCAAAATGATTTATGTACACTATCTCATTTGGGCCTCAACAACTGTCAATAACTCATGGGTACCACAATTAATAATACTGCCATTTTATACACGAGGAAACTGACTCTGAGAAAGATTAAGTAATATGCATCCGGTCATAAAATTAGTGTTACAAGAAGGATCTGAATCCAGCTCTTCATGAAACCAGGTTCAGTATTATTAACTGTCACACTGTCTGGAACACTGCACCATAAGAAACAATCAATGTGAGGAATCTGAGAAACACAGGAAGACTTGTATGAATTGAGGCAGAGAGAAGTAAGCAGGACAAGAGAATAATACACAAAATGACTACAATAATATAAAAAAAAACCCCAATGTTAAAAGGAAGCCCAACTCAGACTAAGGGTAACAAATAGTCTTGGTCCCATGAAACAGAGGATGAAATATAGCTTTTTTTCTTGATAGAAAAGTGGGAGGCTAAACATGCAAAATATCACATACACTGTCAGACTCTATTGTTTTTTGCTGTTTTAGTTTGTTTCATGGAAGAGTATATCAGGAAATGACCGTGGCATAAAAATACAGCAATTAAAAAACAATCGACTTCATAAATGCAAGATAGGGAAGGAGTGGCCAGAAAGAAGTTCATAGAACTAAGATCTAAGGCATTATAATGGAATACATATTAAAAGAGGAATAGTATCCAGGACTAGGGAAAGCATGGTCCTGTTTTCTGCATTTGTCAGACCACATCTATATGGGTGTTTACTTTTGGGTATCACATTTTAAGAAGCAAATTTTTAAGTGCAGAATACTCTGAGGAACAGAAGCTACACAACGAAAGGACAAGAGCATATTCCAGTGACTTAGGAATATGTAGTCTGGAGAACAGAAGGCCTAGGATACAGATGACAACTGTTTTCAAATATCTGAAAGCCTGACATGCAGAAGAGTCACTAGACTTGTTATGCTTGGCCCCAGTGTGCAAAAACAGGAGTTATGGATAAAAATTGCCAAGAGAAAGGTATAGGTTCAACGAAATAAAAAACTTCCTAACAATCAGGGTTATCTAAATATCTAACAGGTTGCTTTGGGAAGTAATGGGCTGAGACCTAAATCAGAGTTGTTTAAACAGAAGCTGGATGACACTTGTTGGAGAGGCTGACACTGAGACTCTTAGCTAGATGGTCTCGAATGTGGCTCACAAGTCTGAAAGTCTCAAAGCAGAAGAGTTTGAACTTTATTTGAAAGGTAACATTAGTGAGCTTCTCAACATGTTTGAGCATGCTAGTGGCATGTGCATCCACACATGCACATGCACACATGCACACACACACAAACTTATTCTGGGAGTGGTATGAAGATGCTTAATTCATACTCCAAATAAATACTCCAGTTAAAAGATCTAAAACCATTTCGGGCTCTCATTCTAGGGAGTTTTGTGCTAGGCAGCACCATTACTCTGGTATACAATAGATTATAGTACGTTACAGTAAGAAGTGATTTATTAGCATCAACCAGAGTTTCACTGTTAAACTAGGGAAACATATAACATGATATATGATGGATTAATGGGCAATAACCTATTATTTTTATACATTATATATCTGAAATGGAAAAATCTAAAATATGCTTTGGTTGGCAAGAAGTAGAAACTTGAAGACAGAAAAATATAATTCTAAATCATCATAATCTGGTATGGAAATGGTTAATCAAAAAACCAGCTGTGAATCTGCCCAAAAACTAAAACAGAAAAGAAAAGAAAAAAAAGAAAATGGTAAACAAATTAAAAAATTTGGGAAGGTTGCACATTTGGTTGAATGACCACTACAGTACTACTAAATAATTTGTCTGATCTATAAAATATTCAAGACCTATCATATGCAAGGCTCTTAAAAATTATGGCATGCAAGGTTTAGAAAACTGTCTTTTTGTTGTTATTCCTGCCATCAGAAGTTATCAAATATTAATTTTATTCTTATAAAATTAACTGAACTTATTGTAAATTTACTCTAGTTACCTGTTCTTTTACAGAAGAAAGTGTTTCTTGCTTGACCTCACATTTCTTCCCTAGTTTATTTTCTTGCTGTTAAAAACAAAAGCAAGTTTGCATGTTACTTTACATAAAATATTTTATCTTTTTACATTTAATACGTAGAGAAGTAGCTCTAATACATATACTTTCTTAAACAACTCTTCCTAATACAGTAAAATATCGCCTTGGCCATCTTTTTAAACTAAAACCTCTTTATAATACTATCCTTAGCACCAAGACCTCCTCACTATATTCTACGCAACAGAATTCTAAATTTCCTCCTGGCACTTTGATTCAATTTGACAGGCATAAGCATCTATCATATGCCAACCACTGTGCTAAGTGATGGGGCTACAGACACAAAAATAAAACAGTTCCTACTCTCAAGGAGCTTATAGGAATATTAAATTCCCTTACAAATGGTTCATAAAGACTAAATTCATAATGATATCACAATAAAAATTCCAGTGAACTTATATACTTAAGATGGAATTCAGAAGCAATACTGAATATATAATGAGGAAAGACAAGTAAGTAGCCTTTATTTTTTTATGTTTGCTCCAGGTGGAGAAGATTCAGCATAAGTAGAAGAAAAACTGCTAGGTAGGTGCTGCCTGGAAAGTACCTGAGAAGGAAGAAAAATGAGAAAAGGTAGAAATAGAAAACAGAGACAACTACAGAGGACCCAATGTCACTGGGGCAGGTCATAGGGAGTATAGCATTGACTGCAAAGGGAAATGAGAATGTTGATCAGCATTTACTTCCTTGTTGTGGTTTGTCCTTCATCCTCAAAGAGAACCATGACATCAGGAAAGTGATGCCATGACTGGCAAGTAACTTAAATTTGAGTGAGTGAGGGCTGTGCAAAGTCACCAGCCTCATTTTCTCCTCTGGAGCCATCTGGGTCCAGTGGCAAGATATAGATCAGGACGACTGGAGATGACCCCCAATGAACACACAGGGCTATTATAGAATAGCAAGACAGTCTATATTTTTTTTTTGTCTTTTGGCTAGGCAACGGGGTTAAGTGACTTGCCCAGGGTCACACAGCTAGTATGTGTTTATGTGTGTGAGGCCACATTTGAACTCAGGTCCTCCTGAATCCACAGCCGGTGCTCTATCCACTGCACTATCTAGCTGCCCCAAGACAGTCTATATTTTAAACTAGAGGTGTCTAACACACAGTTTGCAAAGCTGCCATTTACTGTCTGAATCAGATTAAAACGTAATTGGGAAATACTGAACAAAACAAATTAAAATGTAATAGAACACAGACAATGTTAATTTATGCTTTTCTCAGTCAATATGAGCAGCAGAGATCCTAATGTACTGTTTAGTGGCCTCTGTTTCTATTTGAGTTTGATACCACTGATTTAAACCCGACCTTGCACAGAATAACTGATGGAAAGAAATTTACTTCATTAAATGAAACACAAAGAGAGACAGACTATTCAGACATTAATTTGGGCATCATTGTCACCAGCAGCTACTTGGAGACTAAAAAATACTATTTGGTTGATTTTAAAATGAAAAATAAACATAAGTGCTATAAACTAATTTCTTAGTTCTCAAAAAGCATGAAGATGGATACTTCACCAATAACTATTTTAGGTACTGCCTTTCCAAAAAGTATATTTTAGGGACCATAGCATGAAAAGCAGGAAATCATTCTTATTAAGTTAAAATTGCAACTTAATTTTTTTAAAATGAGCAATTTTATTTGCTCATAGCCATAAGACAGGACCTTCATAACTCTGTAGTTTGTGAAATTGAGTGTGTTTCCACTGGTCAGCTAAAATTGACATGGGTCTTGACTTCACAAATTATTTTTGAAAAATGATAAAAACTTCAAATTAATTAAAAATTCCATCTACCTAACCCTTTAAAGTTCAAAAATTGCTTTTATCTCATTTTATCTCCCAAATGACCCTATAATATAGGTAGTACAAAGATTAATTTTTAAAACAAGGATACAGAGTGTTAGAGAGGTTATGTAATTTGCCCAAGGACATAAAGCTTCAAACTTAAGTATCCTGACTCCAAGTCTTAATCTCTTGGCACCATACCAGCCTCCCTCTTGGGACAAGAATCACCAAAGTGGCAATTTTCTTGTGAAAAATTTTAGTCCTAGGCTATGAAACTTTTTTGATTTTTGTAAGATTTGCCATCTTAAGACAAATGAACTCAATTCAATATATATTAAGTACCCCTTATATTAAAGTCATTTATTCATAATCAAAGTATTCTCTCCAAAGGCACACTAGTTTTGTTTTTAATTACATTACTTTAGAGATTATGAATGCTGAACCATAAAAACTGAAGTCAGAAAAGAAATCAAATGTTAGGAATTACAGAACTCATAATTTAAGAGTTTTAAACAATTACTAAATAGTCTAGGTAGGACTTACAAATAGTTTGCTTGCTGCTTTCTCTGCCCCATTCCTGCCCTCTGTGTCCTTACTCACCATTTACTTTTTACCAACCCCTTGCAATTTGCCTGCCAATCTGACCATTCTATCAAGAATGCCCTCTCCAAAGCCACTAATGATCTCCTAATTGTTAAAGCAGATGACCATCTTAACGTCACTATCTCCTGTCCTTTATACGATCCTTTCCTCCCAGGTACTATCTCATTTACTCCTTCATTTAAAAGGCACTGAGCTCCTACAATGGAAAAAGCATTGTAGTTATGTCCCAGGGATAATAAAGACAAAAATGGAACACAGTCCTGACCTTCAAGCAGCTTACATTTTTGGGCAGCTAAGAGAGTTGGGGAAGAAGAGCAGCAAAGATAACATGTATGAAGATAACTGAAAACGAGATAATGTGAGGAAAAAGAAAGCCTAGGATTGCCTACCTATCATTTCTCTCTCCCAGTTGTTTTCCTCAGTTTTCTCACTGGTTCTCTAGCCTTCTCTTGCCTACTATGTGTTAGTATCCCCCAAGCCCATGTTCAAGGCTCTCTTCTCTAACCTCTCATATTGAAACAAACCAGCCCCAAAGTTCCAAGGAGATTAAGAGTTTGTTGTGCTGGCGTGGTCTCTCAGATTCTGAGCAGGATATGATGGAAAGGACAGCATCAGAGTACTCGCAATCTCCTTAATTCTTGGACTGAATATATTCTTTCAGGGAATGATACATGTAAAACTAAGTTTTAGGAAAATTAATTTTTATAGATTACTGGATGCTTTTTTTAAAATTTTTTTTGGGGTGGGGCAATCAGGGTTAAGTGACTTGCCCAGTGTCACACAGCTAATGTCAAGTGTCTGGGGCCAAATTTGGACTCAGGTCTTCCTGACTCCAAGGCTGGTGCTCTATCCACTATACCACCTAACTGCCCCTACTGGATGGTTTCTTGACTATCTCTGATTCAAGTACCTGGTTTCCAGCAGAACAGAGGTTACTATCATATGTACCAAGAATAGTATAAATAGGAAAAGAAAAAAGAAAAGAGAAAAAGGAAAACAGCAAAAGGAATAGAAATAAAGTATCATGGGAGAGGAAGGTAGGAAAGAAGTTAAAAAATATTAGAGAAAGCAGGATATGAACAGAGAAGGCATAGAAGAAACAAATTCAAACATGTCCCCAAATGCCCAGTTCTGACCTACCACTTCCCATACTATGGCCCATTCTTGAGAGGTTAAACATCACTGATTAACTAGTCCCACCCCTAGAAAATAGCAAATTCAAAAACTGAGCTAGCTTTCTTAACCATTTATAATTCAAAGCAAACAGAATCCTTGCAGAATAAAACCTTAACAAATCAGTAGATTTCTATACGTGTTTCTTTTTTCACTGGTGGACAGAGAATATCCAATTTCCTCTGTACAGCAAACTGACAGTAGCAAACTTCTAATATCAGCAAGCTCTTCTGCAATGCACAGGATTCCCCAAAGCACTTGAAGGTTAAGTGACCTAACAAGGGCCCCAAAATCATGAGTGAGAGGAAGGACTTAAAGCCCCATCTCCCTGACTCCAAGAGCAACACTCAATCCATCCTACCCTTCTGTATCTCAAGTTTATAGGAACATTGTTTTGTTTTGGTCAGTACATGAGTTATTCACAAAGCCGGCCCCTTCAAAGAGAAAGCAAAAACCACAGAACCTCAGAGCAGGAAAGGCTCTTAGAGTCCTCTGGACCAACTAGTAATTGACAGAATATCTCTTTAAAAACCCTAGACATTGCCTATATGGTCTTTATTTGAAAGATTCCACAGGGGGCACCAACCACATCCCAAGGCAGCCCATATTCAACTCCTGTATAGCTTCATTTATTTGGGGGTGGGATGGGCAGGGGCTAGAGGATGTGCCCAAGGCGACAAAGCTATTAAGTGTCTGAGGCCAGATTTGAACCAGGGCTGGTGCTCTATCCACTGAGCCACCTAGGTGCCTCTCTGAATAGCTTTATTAAGCAATTTTCTATTAATGCAGAACTAAAATCTTCCTCTCATCAGTTTTAAGTCATTGATCCCAATTCTGTGTCCTGGGCCCATACAAAACAGTTTAAAGACACAATTTGTTTTCAATACCCTTCTGCAAAACTGTAGACATCAAAATCTCAATAATCAAAAGTGCTACATATGCTAAAATAATGTGTTGCCTTTTTATAGGCAGACCCTTTGCAGCATTTGTCCAGTAGTGGTTCAAGACCCCAAAATAATTATTTGTTGGCTGATCAGTCATATTGATTCATCCACACTAAGTTAATATTATCTCCTTTGGTTCTAAAATTGCGAAACAATTTGGCAGGGTAGAGGAAGTATTGGTTTTCAGGTCTGAGTTAGACTAGATGGTTGCTGAGATCCATTTTAACCCTGAGATTTTTGTCTTCTATTTGAGGTAACTGGCGTCAGTAATAATTCCAACGAGAACAGAGCAAAACAAGTAATTTTCATTATTCATGTGTACTTAAGAGAGGCAACATGGTGTTGTAGAGGATAGAAATAGGGCCTTGGAGTTAAGTAAGACCAAGGTTTAAGTCCCATGAATGATGGTCAGTCTTGGGCTTTGGAACAAAAGGAAGCTAATTACCTGTATGAAGAGCAGAATTATTCATCTTACCTTTGTCAGAATTAACTAAGATAACTGACCAGATTTCTTCATGTGATAGGACTATTTCCCTTGATAATCCTCTCCTTAGTTTGGAATTTGAACAAAGACCACTTGTTTTTAACTAAAGGAAAGCCTGGGGAGCTTCTGAGACCAGATGCAACCACATGTGTTTTTCTTTAAAGGCAACGTAACACAACTCACTATTTAACCCATCTTCACTTTGTTTACTCCTTGGATAACGGTAGGTTAAGATGAACACAATGCACAATGGAAACAGCATCAGATATATCCTTAGAAGACCTGGATTCTAACTCCAGCTTTGGTTGAAGTTAGCACATTAGCAATGTGGCCCTGGGCAAGCCACTTTTCCTTTCTGACCTTCAGCTTTCTTATCCTGTAAAATTAGTGGACCTGGAATTCACTTTTCCTTTTAGAACAGAAGTGGGCAAGGTTCACTTTAAATAGACACATAAGACTTCCCCAGTCATTAGTGGGATGCTCCTAAATTCCTATTTTGTAATAAATTTAACATAAATATCAAATAAATATTACTTACAGCTACTTTGCAACTCTCTTCAATTGGTTTATTATCCTCAGAGTCATTTTTTCTTATATCCAGTCTCAGTTTTTTTCCTAAACTGATTTCACTGACTGGCCCTTGAATTCCAACTTCAATTTCTTGTTCTTGTTCTGTCCCCTGATGTAAGTGTTCTAACACCTCATTTTCCACAGCTAAATCATCCATTTCTTTCCTCTTTTTCAGGTTGGGTTTAAGAAGTTCATCAACAGGACTGTTTACATTAGGTTTTAGGTTAATGCTTCTATATGCTCCATCTGTTTTTCTGTCCAATGTACATGGTCCTTTCTGGGATTGGTACTGTTCTTGGTTTCTCCAGGCTGAGGAAGTTGTGGGTTGTGTTTGGTCTAAAAGAGAACAAGACAGTTCTACTCTTGCAGATTTGGACACAGACTCTTCTTGCTCTTCTTCATCCCTTTCCCTGAATTACAAAGAAAAACAAAATAATACCTTGCATTTGTCATATCTCAACCTTCATTCAATAGTTAAGAACAACATATTAATCAATAGCAAAGTAGATTTTTGTACTTAGGGGAGAAACTGAAGAGGTAATTTAGTTACTCAGATACATAATACTATAGATCTCTCACATACTATAATACTATGGGTCCCTACATAGGACTAATCCTGTAGAAACTCAGTATCAAGTCCACCTTCTCTTTCCTCAGAAGAAGGTGAAAAGGTGAAAGCAGCAGAGTAAAGAGACAGATGCAGACACCTCTATTGTAGTAAGTCATAGTTAGAAGAATAGTCAAAGGGCTTAGAAACAAGACAGATCTGGAATGATAGGGGAAAAAAGATTGTGAAACAGCAGATAAAAGTTGCCATTTGCATATTTAAAGGATTAAAGTTTTCCAAGTGTTTCACATATTTTATCTAATTTGAACTTCACAACCCTGAGGTAGGTATCAGAGGCATTACTGCCTCCATTTTATGGATAACAAAACTGAGCACCAGAAGTAAATGCACTTGCTCATTGTGCCATAGATGGCTAAGTATATGAGACAGCACCTAAATTTGGGTCTATCTGACTATAAATCTAGAACTTTATTCACAATGACAACTGGCTTCTTTTAGGTCGGGTACACACTGTAAATAATCCATAGGTGTTTCCTTTTAAGTAGTTACTGTTGTATGTGAAAGACCCTTGAGGATATTTTGTTTGACCTCATCCTCAAAGCAGAAACTCCCTCTACAACATCCCTAAAAGAATATTCCAACCACAGGACACAGCTTGTTCTGTTTAATTTTGTTTTTACCATCAGGGAAAGAACTGCAAGGTTCTGGATCATGGAATTGGAATAATTTTCGCTGATGGTGAGGTGGCTGCATACCTCTCCAAATGGATGGCTGAGGTAAAGTGAAGATGGGCAAAGGTAACTGAAGCAGAAGAAGAATTGGGAGACCAATAGGATAGGAGGATTATCAATAGATGAATTTGATTTTAAGGAAGATGAAAGACTATGAGACAAGTGTGGTAGGCACAGAGGAGGGAAGATGTCCTGGAGTTTAATAGATGAATGAATAAGGATCTGTGTAGGATGATATAATTTGAAAGCATGAACTTCAAAAGAAGTGTTTGATTAGCAGAGCAAGGATCTGGAGGCAATAACAGAAAACAAAGAATGTGCCAACTCCTCCTGCCCTTTTTTAAGGGCCAAAATAGACGTTCTTAAAACCTAGCCCCTAGCTATCAAAGAGGGGAGAAATAATTGTGGCCAGGGAGTTTACCTTCAAGACTACTGGCAACAACGGCTCACCAGCTGCCATCAACAGGCAGAGAAGCTCAAGAGCCCTGGGGATGGCAGCACCCTTCTTCACCACAAGACCACCAATCTTGCTTCCAGCTCAGCCCTTACACACATCATCTAAGGAAGCAACACCTGTGAACAGGTGCCAGCTGTCCTCACCAAGTGTTACCCACAGGGCAGGTATGCCAGCCTAGATAGCAGCCAGGCACTCTGAGGAGGCAATGTGTGCCAGCCATGTCAAACCACCACCTCCACCACGACTACCATTTACCCTCAGACTCCATTAAAGACTGCCTTGAACCCAAGAGCCTTGGGATACGCAATGCTTCCAGCACAGTGACCACTGCCATCATCCTGGGAAGCAATTCCTGTGCAAAAGTAGCCTGCCAACTACAACTACTGAAGCCTCAAAAATTCTTGTCACCAAAGTCCTTAACACTGTCAAATGGCTCAATATTAGAAACTGATATGACTTTATCAATGGTAATGCTATTAAAGAGGCATTACTGTCTGCCACTCCCTAAGGGCTATTAGATCTAGTCATCTGACTTGAAGCTGAAACCTTCCATATGTTGTTGTCTTCCCCAGTAGAACATGAACTCCTTAAGAGCACAGACTGTCTTACTCTTCATCTGAATTTCCCTGCTCTCAGCACAGTTCTTTGCACATAGTAAGCACTTAATTTTTTTTTCATTCATTCAATAGGAGTGACCACTATTAGAGATATATTTAAAGGTAGAGACTTCAACTCCAATGCTCTCTGCACTGTGTTCTAGTCATTCATTTGAGTTTAACTGTGAAGAGAAGGAAAAATAGTAGCTATAAGCAAAAGACAACAAAGTGGTGAGGGGGAGACTAAAGCTGTTGGAGAACGGATATAAATAAAGTAAAAAAAAAGTCTTACAGAAGAGAGTGAATGGCTTCAAGGGTACAAATGGAAGGGTTAGCTTAAAAATGGAGACACCTCCTCCTCTGATTTGGGAAAAATAGGATGACTCATTTTTTCAGTTAAGTAGCAGGCAAAGATATCTTAAACCTTAATGGTGAGCAAGCACAACACATCAAATACCACAGACCAACATATATTTGTTCCATATAAGTAAATAATCATGTCTTCGCAAAACGTAAGTAGAATTACGGAAATTTACCTTTTCTTTGTAACTGACTGGAAATAGTTTTTAATGGAGTTAGTCTGTTGTTGCTGAGAAGCCTGTTCTTTCTTTCTGCTCGAAGTCTGAGTTGAGGAAAGTTGATTATTTGGAATTTTTACTGTAGTATGATTAAGTGCTTTTGTCCCTAAATTAACACTGTAATTTGTGTTAGGAGTCTCTTTTACAGTGAATATTTCTTGTGAAAATACTTTGGATCTTTGTTCCATTTGGGGAGTTTCACTCTCTTTTGGACTTTCACTTAAATCCATGCTGAAATAAAAAAGACATCCTAGCTTAAGATGAGTTTAATAGAAAGCAACTCAATACAGAGAAAATTGGTTTTAAATAGAATTGTGTACTTTACTTCTCCAAAATTTTAAAAAGCTTTGAACAGGTACCAATTCAATAACACAAAGAATTTTTCAATCTGAAGAGACGTTATCAATTCAGCATTACAAAAAGGTGCTACTTTTTCGTCTATGCTCTTTGATAACACAAGTTATTATTTTTAGGAATTTTTTTAAATAGATTTCTTTTTTTTTCCTACATATACTTCTGCTGTACAGCTTACCATGTACTCTGGCTGAACATGTAACAGGTACTGAGTTCAAAGACACTTGACACTTACTAGCTGTGTGACCCTGGGCAAGTCACTTAACCCCAATTGCCTCACCAAGAAAACAAACAAACAAAAAATATATAACAGGTGCTTAATAGATATTAATCATAATATATAATTTCTTCAAAAATATATGCCACTAGTTATTTGCCAGACATACACTGGCTAAGAGGAGTTGATTTTGTGGTTTAAATGGTAGAATCCAGTATTAATACATGTGACAAACTTCACATGGGCAAGTTTAAATTGGGAACAGGAAAAGAAGGTTTGGTGCAAACCTATGACCTTGGTTTAGGGAACTTATGATGAAAAAAACTCTATCAAGCAAGTAACATGCACCTGACTTGCCCAGAATCATGGAGACAGTGTAGGTCAGACTCAGACCTTGAACCCAGGTTTTCCTAACTCTAAGGCTGGTTTTCAATAGTTCAGAGAGTACCTTAAATACTATTCCATCCAAATACTAAGGCTGTCAAATCAATGTTTGACAAAAGAGAAAATTAAAGTAAAACTTAATGGAAATCAAATGAACTAGTGAGAATTAAAATTTGTCCATTACCACAGTTTCAGAACCTAGTCTTCAGCATAAATTCCCTCTTTATGAATACTTCAAAATAAAATGCATTAGTATCTAATAGAGAAAATATTAACTGCAAGAATAAAAATGTAATTATAAATCTGTGATGTAAATATATTCAACATTATATACACACATACATACATATATATATATGCATTCTACAAATGTCATAAAAACTAATTTTACCACTTTATAGCCTTAATGAAATACATATATTTTCAAAGAATAAGAAATAATTTTCTCTTGATCAGTATCTCTGTGTGTATTTCTCAAGTTTATTTTCTGAGAGACAAAATTACTAGAAAGTTAAAGGTGATTAGAATATACACTAGTAAGATGGTTTGAAAATGATATTAGCAACTTAATTATTCTGGGTGTTAGAGACTCCTATGTATGCTATTAATTTATTAATAAAATAACATCTCAGAAAAGGAAAAAAAATCAAATACATTTACAAAGAAACTTTACCAAGTATCTGCATGTTCTGATTCTGTGTCAGGTATACATGCTGTGATATTCATTGTGGTGCCTGGCATTATGGTTTCATTTACCATTACGTTCTGAGAAAGACTTGGCCTTGGAGTTGGAGTCAATCCTATAAATTACACATGAAAAGAAATAAAATAATGAATACCTCTAAGTCATTTCCTCATACCTCATGCTAACAAGTTGACAGACAACATACACTTATATCTACTCACATGGAGTTAATACTGCATGTACAGACAAATGAATAGGCTAGTTTGCCACCAGTGACACTGGTTATGTTCTTAATGCTTCTTACTGGTTGGTAATTAAGAATGGATTTATTTTAATCAAATCAATTAAAAATGAATCAGTACTTAGGTTACTCTAGTAATAACCTGCTTAATATGGTTAACTGATTTCTAGGTGGAAGTGGCCTGGATTTAGTCAGAGGCCTTGGTTTGAATTCCAGTCCCCCTCTTATTACCAGTGGGGCCTTGGGCAGGTCATTTCCTATGTTATGGGCCTGAATTCTCTTATCTGTAAAATGAAGAGAGCTAATTAGATTATCTAAGACCCCCTCTATTCTAAATTCCTTGAAAGCACATCACAGGTAGCATTTAAGCTTAGTTCTTCTCATGAGAACAATGTGATATAAACGGATGACTTGTCAAATGAAGCAGAGTTTTGTGGCTTTACAGTAAGGTTAGGTTAAAATGCATTGTTATTGGAAAATTATATCAATCAATTACATAGCATATTCCTTATGTGAAATTTTTTTTTAAAGGCAGTTGGGGTTAAGTGACTTGCCCAGGGTCACACAGCTAGTAAGTGTGAAGTGTTTGGTCTGAGGCTGGATTTGAACTCAGGTCCTCCTGACTCCACAGCCGGTGCTCTATCCACTGTGCCACCTAGCTGCCCCTCACGTAAGATTTCACTTACAAAAAGGACATTCGTTATTGATACTGCACATTCTTCACAAGTCAGAAATAAAGACTTCATTTTTAGAAAGAATACTCATATTTTTGGAAGAGGTGGGATGGAGTCAAGAAAACCTTTGAGACTCCTTTGTCTCCCAAGAGAAAAGAGGTAAGATTTTTAATCTTTACAGAAAACTGCTAGTTCAGAATGGGATATTTCTTGGTTTTGAGAAGGCAAAAGGAATAAGATACTCACTGGGGAAGGAAAGCAGGGGAAAGTGTGTGCCAAGGTCACATCCAGTTGAGGGGTAGGAGAATGGCAGAGTTTGGTAAACAAGTAGACCAGGAATAGTATATCATATTCTCTGGGTGCTGAATGATGCTTATCTTTACAGTTTGGTGAATATTTCCTGTTGTCTCTTTTCTATCTACTTGGATTGGTTAAAGAAAGTGAGGCTATTTAGCCTGGAGATGGGGGGGGGTAATTACTATGTCTTCATGTACTCGAAAATTTTTCATGTGAAGAAGATGTAAGGTTGTTTTGCTTAGCCCCAGAAGGCAAAACCGTCTAACAATTAGAGCTGACTTGATAAACAGCAATCAAAAGATACTGTGGAGGACATTCTTGTTCAGATAGAAGTAGGATTAGTGGAGTTTTCTAGGCCTCAATTACCTCATTTGAAAAATAAAGGGGTTGGATTAAATGACTTCCAAGGTTTCTTAAAGCTCTAAATCTGTGATCCTATATCTTTGGCTCTTTCCAACTCTGAGGTTCTATGCTATGTGTAAGAGAATTACCCTACCCCTACATATAAAATATTCCAGGTTAGGAGTTCTTAAAGTGGTGTTCATAGAAAGGAAGCTTTCAGGGAACTTAGGGGGAAAAAATCACATTCATTTGCATTAACCTCTAACTGAAAATTTACCATTTCCTTCAATTTTGAATACAGGCAACAAATATGATTCTGAAATAGGGTCCATGGGCTTCACTAGAATACCAAAGGGGTCCATGAGACAAAAAAATAAAATTAAAAACCCCTGCTCTAGATCAATCCCTCCCCAGGAGTTCTGAATAGGAAATTAAGAGGCAGCTGCCCTTAAACAGAGCAGGGCAGACTCAGACCTTTCAACTCCTATTTGTATGAACAGGTCATTTCTAGGTCAGTCTTAATGCACACAGGATAGTCATTCTCTATCAAAAAAAAACTCCAAAAAATAACACTGATCAGACTTTTTAGGAATTAAAAGTCAAAAAATTACCACGGTGTCAAAATCTTAACCAAGTTGTCATGTTTACCATTTCCCTCCTTATCTCTCGCTAATTAACCCACATGGTCATTTCCCAACCCATAATATTAGCTACAAAGTAGTCAGAGAAGTTCAATGGGCACAAGTTGTATTTTCTTCATAAAGCTGCAGATGGCACACTTGTGAAATCTATGGATTAAATTAAAATTAAATCAAATCTATGGAACTACGTGGGAGAGCTAACAAATCAGATGCACAGTCAAAAGCCAAAAAAACCTTGTCAGGCTAGTAAGGTGAGCCAAATTTATAAAGATAAAATTTACAGGCATAACATTAAAGGTCTACACTACACTTGGGTTAAAAAAAAATCGACTTTCATGAATACAGGATGAAGGAGGTCAGACAAGGGTGCATGTCAAAAAGATCTGGGCATTTTGGTGAGCCACAAGCTCAGTATGAATCAACATCATGACATGACAATCAAAAATTCAACTTCCGAAGGTACACTGAGAGTCTAGCAAGGTAGGTGACCGAAGCGGTATGCTTTTTCGTAATCAGACCACATTTGAAATAACTGTGTTCTGGACATGAGATTCTAGTAATGATATTGAAAAGGTGAAGCACATTCAGAAAGGATGAGATCATACCACATAAGATTAATATATACAAGTTGTAGACAAATAAATAAAATACTTGCTGTCCAAAACTGGCATTGACTGCCTTGGCAAGCAGTATAACAACCACAATACAAACAGTTATAAAATGAGTTAGTAAAAAAGCCTCTGAACCAATAGCAATATAGTTCTATGCCACCTTAAAAAAACAAAAACAGGAAAAGAAAAAATGCAGGAAGGCTAAATTATCTTACCCTGTCAAGCAGAGGAGTTACATATCAAATTCAGATAAATTTACTTCACAAACAAGATTAAAAAAAAAATTAAAATAGTGTTTCAGTTACCTGCACCAGGATTGCAATATGTCTCTGTGGACATGAAAATAACTGCTAATCCAATTTCTGCTTCAGGGATGGCTCTAAGATGCTGGCTATTAAAGATAAGAGATTTTAATAGTAATAACAACATTCTAAAACTATCAATGACTTTAATTAAGCTATGTGACTATGGAAGTTGCTTGATCTCCCGAGATTTCAATTGCCCCCTTTCACAAAATGAGAATACTTCTACTGCCTCAGGCAGTTATGAAGAAAAGGCTTTTTAAAACTTAAGAGCATTACCTAGGAGTGATTTATCATGGGGGATCCTCTCTGCACTCCAACAGGGCTCTTCCTACAATCTCCATCATCACTAACCACCTACTGTGTGCGACTTATTTTTCCCCACAATGATGACAGACACAATTTCAAGATACCAACTTCATTGTTCATCATGCTTCTCATTTCTGCCTATGTATTGATTATAAGTAAGCATTTTTTTCCAATGGGTGATGACAACTTTAATTGTAGGGAAATTCCCGTAAAATTCTGCCTCCAACTTGAGGCTTCCAACAGAATAATCCTTCTTCAATTATTATACATTCTACCCTAAAACTTAAAAAGTTAAGTTCCTCTAAAATTCATCTGACTTATGGATTCATGCCAGAGAGGATAAGGAACATTACAGCACAAAAGAAAAAATGCCTGTGACATTAAAATGTGCCAATTTTAGCACACTAACTGCTTAAATTGCTACTTTTGAGTCCCTTCATTGTACCTCGTTTCTTTCTATATTTCTGTTGAGAAATGGAGCAAGATTGCAATGACCTTGCATATATCTACTGTTCTATTATCAAGGAGCAATTTTATACCTTTGAAGCATATCCATAATTGAACGGATCCATTTTCTCACAGAATCAGGTACTAAAACCTGTGAATTTGTTAATCCTGCATCAACAATACATGTTCCAGGAGTTAAAAAAGAAGAAACAGCTTCTTTATCTTCCTCTGTTGCCAATTTAGCTTCTCCACCTCCAAGAAGAATTGCAGGTCTCAACTTCTTATGCTAAAATTTAAATTTTTTGAGGAAAAAAAATAAGTGATTATAATTCATTCCTGTTGAATATTCTTACATTACTTATACCAAAATGTCCATTTTGGCATTAAATGACAATCTAATAAGGAATCTTTGTGCCTCTCTTTTTTAGAAATGTGGCTAATGCTGATTTGACAACCACTGTTCAATTAATGTGACTATCACTTAGGTTACTTAACTCTAAACTTGATAAATGTACTTTCTGTTGCCCTTTTATTTTACTTTAGAGTACATATTACTCTCATAGCTCTCACCAAGAACAGTATAACCAATAGAAAACAATATGGCTCCTTTGATGCACAACATGGCCTAGCAGTGGCTTAAAGGTTGGCCTTAAGAGCCTGGGAGCCCTGGAAGTCATCTCTTTGATACAGTCTAGCTGTGTAATCATAGACAAGTCACTTAACCTCTCTGTTCCAGGTAACTCTTAAATTTACAGATCTGCAGCAGTGAAGGGAGCTTCTATTGCAGTAAAATCACAGGTTTAGACCAGGCAACAAAAACAAAAAAACCACACACACAAAAAGCTTCCTCTAGGAAATTTTCTAGGGAATTGCAATTTCTCTCAAAGCCCCAAATTATAATTATTATTCTTGCAGAATTCTGAAAGAGTGGCTAGCAACCCTTAATGACAATCCAAAAAACAAATTTAGAGAAACTCACTTAGAGTTAAGTACTATCTTGCATTGGTATAGAATTTTATTATACTAATAAGCATATCAATATCCATTATCTAATTTGACCTCACAATAACCTTTTAAAGTAGGTACAACAAATAATCACTCATAAAAATAAATATGTATTGGGTGCCTACCTCCTATATAACTCATTAGCTAGATAATCTGCTGCATGCTATTTTCATCCTTATTTTCTATATGAGGGAAATAAGGCACAAAGAGGTTCAGTGACTTGCCTTAGTAACTGAGATGATGAGAACTCAAGTTTCCTGACACCTAGTAAAGTTCTTTTTTTCTTTTCTATACCATGCAGCTCCCACTGTCAATACTTTTCTTTTATACAGCCTGTTCAAAAACCAGATATTAATAAACATGATTATATTGTGCAGCAGCTCAAAATAGAGCAGCATTACTGATTACCAAAAATTCTACCTATTGATAGAATCAGAAATAATCCTTAAGTTTTTTAAAATATCAAATTAGTACATGATATGCATAAAAACTGTTGTTATTACTGACACAGGGAGATGAATTGTAATATTTCATGTTTGTATCCCCTGAATAAGGAAGGCAGAGACAACAATGGCCTTTGGGTCAATAACAGCAGGGTTCAAGCCCTGACTCTGACATATGCTATCTGCATAACCCTGGGCAAGTCACCTAACTTCTTAATGTCTCAGATAATTCTCTCAAGTTCCTAAGTTGCAGAACAGCTCCCCTTCTACCTCAGTAGGGGAAATTTCCTATGCCATTAAAATCAAAGGGCCAGACTTCTTTCCCCTCTCCCTCTCAAAATTTCACTGGTATTACCTGTTTGGCATTTAAAAATATAAAAGTTCTCCCACTGAATATTTGTTTTCTTTCTTTACGCCTCGATAGATCCAGATTTTCATTATTAATAGAAGGTTCATCAATAGGAGGATAAAAACTGTAAGAACAAGTGAATTATATTAAAATAGTATACTATCTGAAGTTCTCTTGTTTGATAATTGTGACTATCCAAACAATAAGATGGCTTGACTTCTCCAGGGACATGATCACTACGAACACTGAAATACCATAATAAGCTTTTTTGCATATGATGACATAATAGATGCCAGAGATAAATACCTCCTCCAAGGAGATACCAGTGTGGACTAAAAGAGGAACTGGTCAGAGAGCATTAGGGAAAACTGCTAAACCAATCCAGCTGGCACCACACAAATAAGCTGCCTTTTTACCAATTTGTATCTTCCTTAAGGTTATCCCTTTTATTTCTTCTTGTCCTTCCATCCTTGTCTATATTTTCTTTTCCCATTCTCTCACCATTTCTGCAGCCTTCCACCTTCCTAATACCCTATATTTTCTTCCCAGAAGAGGAAAAGTTACTGTTTTTCAAACCACATAAATCCCTTTGCCTATTCCTTGTGAGCTCAGAGAAGATACCTGCTGTGAATTTTCTTTAGCTTAAAATGAATGTTTGTCCCTTGAGAACAGGGAGCATTTTCATGAGCCCTTATACCAAGTTGCTGTGTGTATGTACGTAGGAATGTATGTATGTTGGTAGTACTCTTTATAAAATCATTGTAGTAAATGAATTATTTCAGAAACTGTAGCAAAAAAAGGCTATTAGAGCTATGCAGGTATATAACTGTCCTATGACTTCTCTAAGTTGAGCTGTGACGAGGTTTCAGTTTGTCCTTATGTACTGTCTACAGTTTATTTCTATCATATCCTGATAGGTATGCAACGTAAGTTTGAAAGTTAAAAAACTGCCCAAGGAGCTTACAGTCTGCAATAAACAAAACACATATAGTAAGAACATTAATTCAGTCATTCGTTCATCAATGAGTACTTAATAAGCACACAGATGCAATGCATTGTTCCAGATGTTGGGGGGAAATACAAGAATAAGGAAAGCATGGCCCCTGCCACCAAAAAGCTCACAACATATTAAAGAATAAACTAAGCAAGTTATTTACAGCATGTGAAAATATTTGTATAACACTGACCATTTTGAATCAGTCACGAATCCTACCAGTTGCCTTCCAAAACTATTAAAATGAAACCTTTTGCTAACCTGCCTAGCACCCTGATTTCTCACCTAGCCCCACTACTCTGAGACTTCTCAGCCCACTCTTCATTTGCAGCTCTGCCTGGTTTAAACTCTAAGGTGAAAACACGCTTCTGGAGTTCAAACCCCCTCTACCCTCTTCTTGCTTTCCACCAGCCTTTTGTGTTGTTTTCCCCCATTAGACTGTAAGCCCCTTGAAGGCAAGGACTGTCTTTCTTTTTCATATTTGTATCTCTAGCTCTAAGCACAGTGCCTATCATATAGTAAGTGCTTAATAAATGCTTAATGAAATGAACTGAATTTTCCACCATATCCCAGAAAGCTCATTACTGGAAAAAACATCATCCGGCAAGATCCCATTTGCCTCAGAATTCAAACTCATCACCACCCTCTTATCCCTCAGATTGGAGGGTAGAGCCATGAACTCCAAAATCTCCATTTAAGGATGAAGCCCAGGACAGAACATCTCATTTCTGACCTGGCTGTACTACTCTGGGACTTTTCCATCATCCTGGGCCCCATTTTTTTTTCAGCTTCCTTTTGGGTGTTATCTTGCCCTATTAAACTGTAAACTCCTTAAGGGGGGCAGGAACTGTCTTTCTCTTTTGTATTTTTATCCCCAGCATTTAGTACAGTGCCTGAAGCACAGGAGGTACTTAATAAATGTTTACTGATTCACTGATCTAGGAAAAAAAATATATGTAATACATGTAGATTTAAAGCTTTAAGGTGCATTCCAACTCCCTCATTTTACAGATGAAGAAGCTGAGGCCTAGAGAAGTTAAATGAGTTCCTCAAGAACATAAAAACAGTAAGTGGTACAATCTGGATTCAAATCCAAGTCCTCTGACTCCAAACCCAGAACATATTCCACTATACTAAACTACTTATCTAAAAACATTTGTATCTCTCCATCAGAGAATCAAATCCTGGTCTTCTATGTGACAGTCAGTAAATAAACATTTATTAAGTGTCTACTATGAGTCAGGCATTGTGCTGAACACTGAAGAGAAACAAGAAGATAAAACACAGTTCTTGACCTCAAGAAACTTACAACTTAATAGGGAGACAACAAACAAACAAACATGTTCAAATTAGTTACATACAGGATAAACAGAAACAAATAAGCAAGAGAAAGTTCTAGAATTAAGAGGGGTTGGGAAAGGCTTCCTGTAAAATGGGATTTTAGTTGAGACTTTAAAGGACAGGAGGGAATAATCACCATTTTATACAAAAAGAAATACATTGGACATAAAATCTTACATAGAAATTCACTATAATAAGTGACTATTTCATAATGATAGTAAGAAAATAGGATCTAATAAGCTGAAATTCAATTTGCAGATTAACTTTTTTAGGACATATGTGTGTATGTTTACATTTATATGTACACACACAGAGATTTATTTACAGAATGCATCCTGTCTCTTGGCATTTAGGCTGCAGAACAACCATAAAATTACAGTTAATAGTTCTCAAGCCTGCCTAGGGTAGAAACAAATTATTAAGTGCTATATGTTGCTTTGTAAATTACAACCACTAAACTAAATTGATCATATGGTAGTTCAAGAAAATAATTCCTCATGCTCCTAAATTTTCTCAGGCAATTTGCTACCAAGTAAGATTTAAGATTCCCAGAACAGAATCTACAATCTTCAAAATTGTCTTTCCTCTACGACCCAGGTCATCTCTTGACTCTCGGTTCACTATATTGTTCCATACTTCATTGCCTCAGTAAGATCATAAATCCCATCCAAATTCTGTTAAGATGTAGGGTTTCAGAAAAGCCCATGCAACTGCCTCAGGTAATATTTTTGTAATCAACATACTATCTCCTTTGGAATATCTAATCACAGCCCTCAATTTATTTTTCCCAAGTAAGGTACTTAATATTTGTTTTATAGAAGTGTTTTAAAACCACAACAAAAAACAAGACAACTCCTTTATACTACAGCAAACAATGTTCTACTATATGGCAGAAAGAATACAGGATTTGGAATCAGAGGACATGGGTTCAAATCCTGACTCTGCCACTTACTACCTTGTATGATCTTATTCAAGTTACATAATTTCTCTAAACCTATAAAATGAAGAGGTTGGACTAGGTGAGTTTTAAGTTCCCTGCTAGCTCCAAATTGTATAAAAGTGTAAATATATCAATTTTTATGTCTTCATTAATGATTAAATCTGAGATTATATTTTAAGCCAACCTTTCCTTAATGTGATGATGAAAATATACTTCACCTTTCAAGTTTTGGAGGCTGTTTCTTTGTCTGAATGGCTTTGAGAAATTCAGTAAAATAATCTGGTTTTACAATAGGACAACCACAAATCAGTGCACATATTGTCTAAAATGAGAGAAACAAATTTGTTTATTAGTTATCATTACCAAAAAACTAAGAATAGTGGCTAATGAACATTAAAAATGCATCCCAAATTTGTATACAACACAAAGATAATAAAAGACTTATCTGAGGGAAAGATTTTCAACTTCATGTTCTTCAACAACAGAGAATAGGTGGTTCCCCCAAAAAAACCACATAACTTACCTTTCTTCAATAATGAGAGTAGCTAAAAGTCAATGACATGTCCTATTTTAGGATGGAATTTTTTTCATTAGAATTTTTTTTTTTTGGCTAGGCAATTGGGTTTAAGTGACTTGCCCACGGTCACACATCTAGTACATGTCAAGTGCCTGGTCTGAGGCCAAATTTGAACTCAGGTCCTCCTGACTTCAGGACTGGTTCTCTATCCACTGCGCCACCTACCTGCCCCTTAGAATATTTTTTAAAAATAAAACCTTAATTTACTCTCTGTAAAGGCTTCAAGATACCACATAAAACAAAGGCTGTACCTTGCATTTGAAATAATGCATATGTAACTTTCTTTAGATAATTTTATAAAGCGTCAAATATGAAAAAGGATTAATCCTATGGCTTCTTTAGATTATTAAGGGGGGGAAAAAAGAGAAAACCACCTCAACTGGATTACAATTACTGCTGCTTATTTCTAGTATTCATACTGTGCATTAATTCCATAGATAATAAGCTCAACAGCAGTCAAAGATATAGTGCAGGGGAAAGAGAATTAGAGTTGATGTCTGGAGACCTAGGTTCAGCTCCCAGCTCTGCTATGCTACTTATCTGTGTGACCTTGGACAAGTCAATTACTTTCCGAGCTTCAATTTTTAAAATAAGAGGACTGGTCTGGGTAACCTCTCAGGATCCTTCTAGTTCGCTAAAGCTATGATGCTGCAATTCTAAGATCAGAGTTAAGAGATCTTGCTGTCTCACTGTCTTTCACAAAGCCTAAATATAACCCCTCCCCATCTCACCCCCCAAAAAAACCCCAGCTTTGTCTCCAACTAGAAGGTAAAAGAATAAAAATAGCCATGACGTACTCGGACAAGCATTAGATTTTAAGACTGATACTTTCGAATACTGACTTTGCTCCTTACTTCATTCATAACCACAGGCAAGTCACTGTGCCTCTCTGGGACTCAGTTTCCTTACATGTATACTGAGAAAATTGGATTATGATTTTAAATTCTAGGATAGTTAATGTAATGACCAGACATGACTCCATATGACTGATGAGGAGAAATGCTATCCATGTCCTGACAGTTTCCTCATCCAAGAAATGGGGATGACAAGAGTACCTCCCTCACAAGTTTGTTGTGGTGAGATACCCTATATAATATGCTTTGCATACTTCACAACACTATACAAATGCTGGCTATATTATTTTTAATATGGACTCAATATCCAGAATAAGACACATATTTTTGGATATGGCCATTATGGAACTTTGTTCTACTTAACTACTTATCACATATTTCTCACAAAGGTTTTCCTTCCTTTTTTTTTTTGGTGGGATGATGGTCGGAGGGGGGACAAAATAAATGCTTGAAAACTGACCAAAAAAAAGAAATTCAATTAAAAAATAATTCTCCAATACTGTGAGCAGATCTAAGAAAGGACCAGATTACTAATAAATACAGAAACACAAGTATTTTTCTTTTACTAAGACATATGCTAAAGGTGATACTGAATACTTTTTTGTGATTTTTAAAATAAAATTCCATCACAGCAATAGTGAAAAGAGCACTCGACTTGTAATGAAAGAAACTAGGCTTGGGTCCCTGCTAAATACACTATATAACCTGAGACAAGTCACATATGTCTTCTAAAATTCTTCATCTATAAAACAAGGATGTTGAAGTAACTTCATAGTTCCCTTTCCAGCTCAAAAAGTTTCTGACAAATGGAGCACATAAACTGGATTAACCTCCTAAATCTTTCTCAAAATGTATTATTACTGAGGCTAGTTTATAATCCTATACAAATGAACACAAGTAAAAACCTATTTCAAATAGAAAGTTATCTAAATATAATGGTTATAGAACTGCTAATTATTACTCATTTCACAGAAGAAAAGATATAAACTATAGTGAGTGCAACTCCCAGATACTTGTTTCTACCTAAAACCACAAGCATGTGGGTATCACCTGGCAATTATGAAGGTGAACTTTTCATCTCTGCTTCAATCACAGCTGTTCTTCTTCCTTTCCTTCCTTGCTTCTAAAAAGGTGCATTTCCTTTATACTATACCCTAGTCAGGAATACTTGTACATTCTTATAAGTCAATGTAATTTTAATTCTTCTTTATAATCCAGAGCTTGACATAGCCTTCCTTTTTAGAAAATGAAGACAATGCACTAAAGCAGTAATTTATTTTGACAAACTTTCAAACTCTGAAGTTATGTCAGAAAACTGCCTGCTGATTTTGCACAGCAAGAGAAATGTTATGTTTGGTAACTAGAAGTTTAAGCTTCACTGAATTTTTAACACCACAGTATAGTTAACTTACTTTAATAGTAACTTTAACTGACACCATGACAAGGTGAGTACATTCTTCTGTCCAGTTGTTTACAACAAGTCCTCCAAGTTGTAAAACAGCTTGATTTAAAACAGTTTTTCCAGACACATCTAAACAAGAGGGACATGCAACCAATGGTTCATATTCTACTCTGTAGGAAATAAAAAGTTACACAAGTTTTATTATGGGCTTTATAAGGATAAAGAAATAGATCAGTTGGAAAATATGGTTACTTGTTTAGTAAAGACTAAACAAGATCAGTTCTATTCCACCACGAAACTGGTTAATTCAAAGAAAAGCTTTTCATCTCTCATTTCATTCAGATATATTGATTATAGTTCAAAGAGAGTCAAGTTATTTTAAATCTCACCATGCATAAAAACAAGAAACACTATAATCAAGAGCCTAAAGGATTCACTTATACTTTCATCCACTCTTGATACTCAAAAGAACTTGGATCAAGTCAATGCAATGACTCCAGAAGATCAGTAAGGAAGCATACTCCCTACCTCCTGACATAAAGATGTTGAACTGAGGGTACAGAAAGAGATATTCGGGGGTGGGAGTGTCATGACCAATGTAAGAATTTGTTTTGACTGTGACTATTTGTTACATGAGTTCTAGTTTTTCCAATGGGGTGGGGGTGAAAGGAGGAAAGAAGGCAGGGAAGATAGGAGGGAGAAAAAATAGAATTTTTGTTAACCGGGGAAAAAAATATTAAATTTAACCACCCCCCCAATCAAAACACAAGACAATATAGAAGTGACACTTCTGGACCTAAAAATGCATTGGACAAATGTGGCTCCAATATTAGCACTGCATTATGTAGGAACTAAGCAATTTCTCCTCAAATTTTTCATCTTTCAGTGTAACAAACTACCTTTAAAATCTGAGAGCAGTGATCTCTGCTAATGGGCCTCATAAAGCATTTTGAAAAGTTCTCATCTTTCATTTTCTATTGGTGGAATACAAACACAGTCCTTATTATTTGCTTGTCCTACATCTCTATTAGCATTGACTTTGGGGTAGAGATAGACTCAGAGGTCCCTTCCAACTCCTGAGATTCTATGATTCTGGTTCATATTGTATTGTATAACTTTGTTTTGTTTTGACACACTGGGTGCATGGTCTTACAAGCTTTGGGGATCAAAAACAAAATAAACAGGAACTCAGGTTTAAAAAACATAAAAAACAAAATTTGGCTACAGAGAGAAAGTTTGTCCACTTAAATATCCATCTAAGAAGTACTTACCTAAATTTGCTTTCAAAGACTCCAAAGGTAACTCTGTCTCCTGTCCTTAAAGGTAGTGGAATCCCATTCTGCATTTTTTCTTCATTAATAAATGTACCATATTTAGAATTATCTTTTATTGTCAATATAGGGATTTCAGAAGCCTGACTCTGGAAATGAACACATGCATTAAAGTTTTTTGCCACTCAGAAATACTATTTTTTTTTACATATTATAAAGTCATAAATACATATCTATAATGTCAATTGAAAAAACAGTATAAAATCAAAGATTAATTTACACGGAAAAAAGATATCAAACAAAATAGGTTGAAAAATTTGGTGAGGAAGATGCTAAGATGATAGCCAACCTCATGATAAACTAGATGGTGTAGTCATCATTACTACTTCCCGTTGGAAATTGTTGCCTTTATTCAGCAATTCACTATTTCTTGGGAGCGCTTTCATAACTTTCCCCCCAACCAATCATCATCCCTCAGACTACCTCCTTCTCAACACGCTGTGCCTTGATTTCCTTTACTCAGAAGAATTTTCAGCATACCTTGACTTTATACTCTCAGCTCTTAGTACTTTGTAATTCTAGCATGTCATCTTTTTTACCTTTTCAAGTTTTTTTATACTTTCTACATCCACAATCCAACCCTTATCAATCACCATTTTCCCAAATACATTCCTTTACTATAGAAATAGTTTCAATTTCTCATGTTCTGTTCTCCCCCTACCCCAGCCCCACCATTTAAGTGATAGACTCTCCCTCCCTCCCAAGATACTGAGTATCTCTGAACCATGTTCCTGTGTTTATATTTTCCCACTATACTGTCCTCTACTTTACAAAGCTCTAAGCTATCACTCACTCCTAGTCTTTATTTAAGAAATAAGAATAGATCTGTCTTTTTTTAAGTACAAAGAAGCCAAAACAGTCCAAATCTTGAATCTTAAGTATAATGCTGCAACTGTCCACTGATTCAGCATTTTACTCCCTATGAAGGAAAGGTACACAACTACAAAATAATTGATGTCATGATGGAACCTAAAAAAAAATCCTCAAATTGGTCTGACAGACATTAGGCTTTTGTAAAATTATAATAAATTTCAGCATACATACATATGTTGTTTATTTGTATAATTTTTGAAAGCTAAATGAAGATTTGGAATAAACTATCAAAAAATGTCAATAATTAAGTAGTCACTTCTGACAAGGTGCAATTGTTCATTTCTGCTTTCAGAAAAGAGACCATTTTATCTTAAAAAGCCCCACAAAATTTTTTCTTCTAATTTCAAAACAATCTTTTGTTTTCACAAACATATAGCTCAACTAACCTTACAATTTATGGTAATAAAGGAAGAAACATACCAGGTTGGTCACAGAATGTCTGACAGTCAACAAAGCATGACTTCTACTGATTGACTGATCATCTTCAATTAGAATCCTACAATTTTTTCTTCCAACGACATAATCAACATCAACCAAAAGTCGATAAGGGTCCCCTACAGAAATCATAAACCATATTGATTTAATGAAAATTCCAAAGACTTTTCCATCTAAAGCAATAATTTTACAGAAACAATTTTTGCTAGCTAAAACTATTGAAATTCTCTACTGAAATCAAATATCAATATTGTGTTTTAAGCTTTGGGTTTTTTTGGTCTGGACCTGTGGGGAGCTTCAAGTAAGAGAGAATCTATATTAATGCAGAACAACAAATATTCTGCAACACAGTTGTCTGGGTCACTGAGAGGTTAAGAAGAAGTGATCATGTAAAAATTAATAGGAATATATATATTGCTAAGAAGTATTTATCAAATACTGAAATGAGTCTGTGATCTTATCAATATGGATGTTTCCTCCAATCATGAGGATCACAATCCATGCATGCCTGACATCTGGTGATAATTTTGCCTGTAAATTTGACATCTGATATGAAGAAGACATCACTGGAGTACTAGGACTGTCCAACTATCATCCTTTACCACTCCCTAAAGTCAATTTCCTTGATCAATAAAAATATACAATGGTAAAAAAAACCCATTCATTACACAAAAAATGCCAACTGATAAAACTTTAAATGTAGGAAGGAAAAAAGTTAATTACAATAAAAAAAATTTTTCACTTCACTCATTACAAGGTTCTCTTAAACAGCTCTCTTAGTTGATTTAAAATGATTCAATTGACAAATCAGTTTCTCAAGTACGCTATAAAATACTCCTTCAAATGTTGGCAAATTCTAGTTACTGCCAAACAAGCATACAGTTAAAACAGGTAATTTTTTAAATGAAAGCCTATATTAACATTTGAGAGTTGTGAAAATGAACATAAAATGTTAATGATATTGACCAATATTTCATTTAGCTCATAGAACAGTAATTTGGAGCCAGAAGACTCAGCACAAAGAATATTTATTTATTTTGTGTGGATTAGGAAAAAAAAACACAATTGCTTTTAGCTGATTAACCACAATCTGGCTGTGATTAACATTTTCCTGTAAATACAATAAAATTGATAATAATAAACATTTATATAGTGCTTTAAGTTTTGCAAAGCACTCTTTCCTTGTTGCTCAGTTGTTTTCTAGTCATGCCTGACTCTGTGGCTTCATTTGGGGTTTTCCTGGCAAAGATACTGGAATAGTTTGTCATTTCCTTCTCCAGCTCATTTTATAGATAAAGAAACTGAGGCAAACAAAGGTTAAGTTACTTGCCCAGGGTCACACAGCTAGTAAGTGTCTGAGGCCAGATTTGAACTCACAAAGATGAGGCTTTCTGACTCCAGGCCCAGCGCTGTATCCACTGTGACACCTAGCTGTCCTAAAGCACTATATGAGTGCGCATGTATCTATACAGACATACATTTATATGTACACATATATTGCATTTGATCCTCACAACAACCCTATGAGGTAGGTTTTGTTATTATTTCCATTTTACAGAGGAGGAAATTGGGAATCAGAGAGGTTAAACGAATTACTAGGGTTACATAGCTAGTAAGTTTCTGAAGGAAGATTAGATCTAGCAGATACGGGATTGACCTTGGAGTTAGGAAGACTAGGCTTCAAGCTTCTGTGAATATGGGCAATTAGAAAAGCATTATAGTATCCCTATTGGTGGGGAGATTTTCCACTTTGTGGGGTGGGAGGTTCTCAAAATAACTGAAGTCACAGGTGTGGACCGTAAATTAAAAGTTATTCTCATAAAAGTTGTTTAAACAAACATGAAATAACTGCCCCCACCCCCAAGCTGGCAATGAATGTAATGAATGCCTGCTAACACTTTACAAATAATAGTTTTCTTGTAGGTGGTCCTCTGTTGCCATCTTGTGGTCAGTTGTGAAAACTGTACTATATTATCGCAATACACAGAAGACTCCTTTTTTAAGAGACATATTTGGTTATCTGTTGGTATCCAGTATCAAGCTACTACCTAACATAGGCGGCAAACAAGTCGCACCAGAAGAGCTAAAAAGCCCAAGGGGCTATTCAAGAAAATTTGTCTTTGGTATTGCTACCTTGAAATAAGAAAAACTAGGGCAAAAAATGAGCAGCAAAAAGCTGCAGTCATATCAATCCTTTTGCTACTTTGCTACTTTACCACCATTATCTTTATTGAATTTAGTCCAGGAGTCACGTTGAAGTATTGCAGGACTAATTAAAATTCAGATCAAAGGCACAGTGGGACAGGGAACCAGAGGAACTGGGCTCTAATCTCAAATGCTAAAATAAAAACTTAGGGTATGACCTTAACTCAAGTAAATTTGCCCTCAGCCATTGTTTTCTCTAGTGTCAAACTAAGGGACTGGGACTAGGTTCTGAAAACCCAATATGAGCCCTGGCCTACTTGATGGTGGGATGCAGACCACCTGAAATATTTAACAAAATCAATTTGTACTTTATTTTAACTAGTACACATGAACTATCAAGTTAATTAGGATCTAATAACCTAAAAGTTCCGGCTATGTGGCCAAACTCTAAATGAGTCAGCCTATCTAGTTTTATAAAGTGCATTATCTTTTGCTATATTGATGAGAACAAAGCTGTAATAAGAGCTGGAGTCAGAAATGGAGATGTGCCCTCACAGCAACTTAGTTAAATGCAAACATTATCACTGATTTGATGGAAGCGAATTAAAAATTAGCACTAAGACTAAAAATATGCTATGTTGTAGGAGCAAAGATTATTTTTTTTAAGAGAGAGTGGGAATTACTTTGTTACTTCTCTTTTAAACAATCCTATTTATGAATAAAAGATAGACTGATGGAAAATAACAGTTGTACAGCTATTTTCTAAATATGTATCCATAAAAGAATAGAAAGTCTCGAAGAACAATTAAAGGCTGAAAAGGATCTGCACCAGTGGAGGACCAACAGTGCTGAGATCACAAATAATCCATCCCAGTACCTATGAGTGAATGACCATAATTATACTGCTGTTATAGAGTACAAAAAGATGTGGCCCCTACTAACACAAAACAAAACCAAAAAAAGTAGGGCACCTTGCAGAAGATAGGAAAGCAGATTTAGAGCTGGGAGGGACTCGCTCATTTTAGAAGGAGCAAGAGAGAGGAGTTAGACTCGTAATCTGACAGGATTTGAACTCATCTTCCTGAATCTCAAGTCTAGCTCTCCATCCACTGCCTAAGCAACTTAAACATGATAAACTATATATTTCTTTCCCCTCTAAAACTCATTCTACAAGACCTGCAGTACAGGAAGACGTATTCTCAGTTTTCCCATCTGTAAAATAGGGATGCTAACAGCACCTACCTCCTAGGGTTGTTGTGAGGATCAGAAAACCTAACATTTGTAAGGTGTTTTGCAAACCTTAAAGCACTATATAAAACCTATCTAATGTATTATTGTTGTTGTTCTCGCTAGGTAAAAATTGTCCCCAGTAAAGTTACATGCTCATTCATCAAGCTGATCAGTCTTTCCTGGGTTGGCGAGGGCCCCACTCTTTCAAGTTCTAAGGGAGATTGCAGTCTGAAGGGGCGGGGCTTCCGGTCGCCTGACCAATCAGATAAGGGCAGGGAGCAGGATCAGAGGAGAGCGACTCGGCTTCCTGGAGAAACTTTTCCGGCCTGAGGAGGGGGGAGTGACTTAGGGCATGCCTCGCAATCTCACAACAGCCTCCGACGCCCCCTCCCTTCCGCCACCTACCCCAGCTGCTCTTCTCCTCCCCTTTCCCTGCTTTCCCTTTGGCCGGCGGGGGCAGGGCTGTGGGCCCGCGTGAGAACTCAAGCTTGGGCCTGTTCGGCCGCCATTCCTCGCCGTCCTTACCTCGGGCCGGGCCCACGGCGGAGAGAAGCGTCCACATGAGCCCGGTCGAGGTCCGGACTCCGGGAGCTATGCTCTCGCTGAGCCGTTTCACGCGCAGGAACAGCGAAGAGTGACCGGCGTTACTTCCTGGTGGCGACGTGCCCGCTCCTTGCGGATCGCTGGGACGTGCGCACTCCCGCGAACAACTCCCCGCTTTACCCTCCACGGATCCAGAGATTATAGAGAAGGGAAGAAATGGGAGTGAGGGAGAGGAAGAGTTGGTGACTGCCCCGCCACCTGGTGGTTGGCGGAGGGAAAACAGCCTAGACTGCGTGACTGATTTTTTTTTTTTTGCCCAGTATTACTTCATAGGATTTAGAACTGGAGGGGACTTTAAATGACCATTTAATTCCCAACCCCTCCTCAGTTTGCACATTAGAATCTTGATGCCCAGCGAAGGAAAGGGACTTTCCAAAGATCACACAGAGTAATTCAGCGTTGGAATTCTAATCATATCCAGAAATCAATTACAGGCCACGCTACATTTGCCTCTCCACAACAAGCACCTTAGTACAATGCCTGGCACGTAGTAGGTGCTTAATAAATATTTATTGAATTGAAGCTACTGAACCAAGATCCAGTGAAGTTCAGTTCAGTTGAACAATTGAATTATATGCCTATTATACCTCAAGCTATATACTAGGTGCTAGCAAACACGGATGGCCCTCAACAAGCTTATATTTTATCTCAACATAAATTGCTCTACTTTTTTTTTCTTGTGAAGGGGCAAAAAAACCCGGAAATGTACCCCTAAGTAGGATGAAAGACCAGACTGATGCTTCAAAAAAACCGAAATCTTTTACAAAAATGTTGAAGTGCTGAGTACTATAGATTTTCAGATTTTAAAAATTCATTTTCACTCATTTATGTTGTATTATGATGTTTCTTAATCTGTAAAATGAGGGGATTGGAGTTGGTGGCTTCTGAGGACACTTCCTACTAGGATCTGTGGTCCTATGATGAATTTCTTCCAAAAAAGAGTTTTAATGTTGCTAGCTCTGCTTTTTAGATTGAGATAAATCCTGGAGGAGTGATGTGTGTGACCATCAACAATGCAAGATATGCCAGAGCTAAGATGAAAATTGAAATTGTTGTTTCTGTCTATTGCTTAGCAACTGTAAAGCCCTGCTGCTCTGAGGCTAAAAAAATAATGAAAAGGAGAAGCTTGAAAGATCATACCCTATGACCAGGTAGAATTTTATACCAGCAATGCAGGGCTACTTCAATGAAAAAACTGTAAGCATAATTGACCATATCAATAACAAAATCAACAAAAATCATGATTATATCAATAGATGCAGAAAAAACCTTTGACAAAATACAACACTCATTCCCATTAAAAACACTAGAAATTATTGGAATAAATGGAGACTTTCTTGAAATTATAAGTAATATCTATCTAAAACCAAGAGCAAACGTTAATAAGGATTAACTTAGAAGGTCAGATCCTAATAAGAGCAGAAGTAAAGCAAGGATGTCACCACTGTTATTCAATATTGTATTGGATACACTAGCTATAGCAATAAGACAAGAAAAAGAAATTGAAGGAATAAAAATAGGCATGAAGATACAAAACTATTACTCTTTGCAGATGATATGATGGTATATTTAGGAAATCCTAGTTTTTTGGCTCCGGTGTCCCCCCCCTTTATGTTTCATTTCCTCGTTAGAATATAGATTCTTTGAGAGTAGACACTATCTTGTTTTCTTGTATATGCATCCTCAGAGCACAGGACTTGGCACATAGTAAGTGCTTAATGAATGCTTTATCTTTCTATCTTTCCCCAACTTCCCCTCTCAATACCTGTCTATCCACAGACACTATTATACTCAAATATTTCTAGTAAAATGAATTTTGCCTCAATTATGTAGAGGTCAGAGATTAAGTAAAGTTAGGTAGATAACCCAACCTCTGCAAAAATGTTGGGAATTTCCTAATAGGGCTCACATCAATTGTGACTGAATTCCTACTGATTGTCCCCTCTCAGTTGTGCTTCTGGGTCTCTGGACTTGGCAACCTTGCCCTAGCTGGTACCTTCCCCCATCCTTCCAGCTTTTCATTTCCATTTATGTGTTGTCCTCCTTTATTAGATTATAAGTTCCATTAGGGCAGAGACTGTCCTTTTGCTTGTATTTGTATTCCCACCGCTTAGCACAGTAGCTGGTACACAGTAAGTACTTAATAAATGCTTGTGGCCTTCCTAGCCAGTCTACCTCTAAAGTCAGAGTAGGGAACCACCTGGAGCTTAGGAGTCATTCTATTGCACCCAAGGCTTAAAATCAGTTAATTATTATCAAATAATTTCAGTTAATTAACACTTTAAAATTGCCTATTATGTGTCTGATACTATGCTAAACTGGAGATACAATCACAAAAAAGAAAGATAATCCCTGCCCTAAGAAGCTTACAATCTTTTGGGGAGAAAAAAAAAACACACAAAAGGAAGCTAAAAAGAAGGGTAGGAGAGGGTACCCAGTGGGAATGTTTTTGGGTTTTGTGTCCAAGTACAAATGAATGCAACCAGGTGGGAAATGAAGAGAGAGCTGGCCTTCTGGCCCTTTTTAAGTGGAAGATCTGGGTGGACCTTGGCACTCCCATCCTCCAATCAGAGGGGCAGAGGAGGTGTGAGTACCAAGGCTTGATTCAGTCTTGCAGGATGATGAGATTCTTGGTGAAATAACAAAATAATGCACCTATTTATGCAATGTCTCATTAGCAGAAGTTACTTGTCTGTACCCTAGATCATTTATATTGTTTTAATTAATCTTTTTCAAGTGAAGATCCATCTTCTCTCCCATCTACCTCTTCTCCCACCCCCAACTTTTGAGAAAAGAAAAACAAAACCCCTATTACAAACATGTATAGTCCAGCAAAAAAAATTCTTGTATAGGTCATGTTAAAAAAAATATCTTTTTAATACATATCTTTCTTAATGGTGAGGGTTTTTTTTTCTTCTGCTACTATATATTTCTATACTTTGCTGGTGTAGCCAATCAGAATAAAGCAAGCATTTCCTTTGATTTTTGTTGCTCTTCTGCATAAAAGAAACCTTACAGAAAAACGGAATTTTAGGGGCAACTAGGTGGCCCAGTGAATAGAGCTCTGGCCTTAGAGTCAGGAGAACCTGAGTTCAAATCCAGCCTCAGACACAACACTTACTAGGTGTGTGACCTTGGGCAAGTCACTTAACCCTGATTGCCTCACCAAAAAAAAAAACAAAACCAAAAAAGCCAAACCTGAATTTTAGTTGGTGCTCAGAGATATCATCTCTCTCTGTGCAATTTGCATTGCAAGTTAAACATCTCTCCGCCAGCTACCATCTCAGTTTTTCTCTCAGGTGCCATGATACTCTATGGTCTTTTGGACAACTTTCTGACCTATATATATTTCTAATGCTAATAACTACAATTTACGTAGAGCACCCTGAGAAAATTGGTGGCTGAGATATATATCATAAACCTGAACAAAGAACAAAAATAAGTTACTGATATTTTGATGGTAATTTAAGTTTGTAAAGAGCTTTACACAGATTATTTCATTTAAGCCTTAACCACCCCCTTGGGATATCACTGGCAATATTATCCCCAATTCACTTTCCATAAACCTGCCAAAGTGATGATTCCAAAAGCATAGTTTTGACCATATCTCTTTCCTAATCAAGTATTCCCATCTAATGTCTATGAGAAAATTAAAACTCCCATTTGGCTTTTAAATCCCTTCACAACCTGGCTCCAGTTTATTTTTTCAGTATTACACTCTACATTCCAGCCAAACTGGCCTGTTTGCTGTTTCCTTTACAGAACAATCTGTCTCCCATTTCTATATCTTTGTACAGGCTGTTCACTCTCCCCTCCCCACCCCACCCATTCCCTTCCCTCCATGCCTGGAAAGTACTCAACCTTACCTTTTCTTCATGGACTCCTTGGGCTTTCTTTAATACTCACTTGCATTTTCTGCAGGAAAGCTACCCAGATCCACCCAGTTATATATAAATATATACACTCTTCTACCAGAAATTGCTTGTATCTATTTTGTATTTAATGTCCTGCGTGTATGTTGTTTTCTCCCAATAAATGTAAGCTCCTTGAAGGATAGGCTTCTTTTTGTGGGGAGGAAGCGTTGTCTTTGTATCCCCAGAATCCAACAAGATGCCTGGCATGTTATAGATGTTCCCTAATGCTTGTTGAATGAATGATTGATCAAATAAATGAATGAATGAATATCAGAATGTAGATTTGAACCCAAATCTTCCATATTGAGAGGACAAAAGAAGAGTGGCCAACATTTGAGATTGCGTTATCTTCAGATATCATTGACTTCAAGTCCACTAAGTCACAGAAAGTTGATGCTATCTCCTCACCTCTACCTTTTGGATTCCTTGGCTTCCCACAAAATTCAGCTGAAATCTCATTTCGTTTGTACTAGGGCCTTCCTTATGACATTAGCTCCCATTAACCCTGTATATGCACCCAAGTATATATGCATACTTGAAGGACACTTGAAGAGATTCAATTAGATAATTCTTAATTAGAAAATTAGTGAGTTGTGCACTCACTATGTGCAAGACCCAGAGATTACAATGACAAAAAAGTCCTTCCCTCTGCTCTACCCACTCCACCCCCAATAATGTAGTAGCAAGCTGATGCGGAAAAGAGTATTGTTTTTTATATAATCAGGATTTCCTACAGTAACCCTTTCCTCCTCCTTTCTAGAGCATCATCTCACATCATTTATTTTACAGAAAAAAAGGAAAAGAAAAAAAAACTTCTTTGGGTTTGTCAAACATGAAATTACCAAGGTTTTTTACTACTGTGTATTGCGTACCTAATCGATTTCACTGATCCACCAGTCTGTTTCTCAGCAGTACCAGATTGTTTTCATGATTGCTGCCCCCCCTTTTATTTGCTATTGATTCCCTTGACATTCTTGACCTTTTGTTCTTTCTGATTAATTTTGTTATTTGTTCTAGCTCTATAAAATAATGCTTTTTCTTTGGAAAGTCACTTTCCCTCGAAGGGCATCAAGATTTTAATCTGTAAATTGGGGAGGGGTTGGGAATTAAATGGCATTTTAAAGTCCCTTCTAGTCCCATAGTTCTAAATCTTATGAAGTAATACTGGACAAAAAAAAATCAGTCTTGAAGTCTAGACTAACTAGCTCGGAATGGCAAAGGAAAGTGAATATGGGTGAAATATCTGGGCAAGGGCAAGGTGAGTTCAACTGGGAATGAAGTGAGCTTGGCTAGCTATCCTCACAAAACAGCAATTTTGGACAGTCAGAAGAGCAGGCCCCAGCAGGGAGTCATGACATTTTCTTGGGACTTCTCTCAACCTTGGGACTTCTCTGAGATGCCTTACAACCAAAGACTCCAGGATATCTCCCTTTTCTGGCATAGTTCAATTCTTTTCTCCTTTTTCCTTAGATGTTGCTAGAATACCAAAAGTTATTAATTGGGCATACTCTTTGACCCAGCAAGTCCATTACATATATTGCAAAGTACCTCCATTTTGTGAAGTCAGCCAGTCCAGTCTGCCTTCATTCCCTTCCCCTTCTTTTTCCTCACTTTCTGGACATGTCTCTTCAGATACACATGATTATAAATATTGGGTTTACTTGGCAAGCTACAGGAGTAATGTAATTACTTAAAACCAAGATGGAGTTATTTAGGTTTAAAGTTAAAGTCCATTTCAATAAATAAAACTGCTGAACAGCAAATTAAAAACATGACTTCTGAACCTATATTTGAAGCCCAAATCTGACACATTAATTAATAGCTGTGTGACTCTTAGCTTTTAAGGTCTTCATCTATAAAATGAAGGGATTGAGCTAGAATGGCCTCTAAGCCTTTTAAAACTCTAAATCTTTGATCGTAATTGTACTAGTTCTAGAACCATAGTATGAATTTATGTGATATTTAGAATCTTTTTATCTTCATTTCTAGTTTGCTAATGATCATTGTACACTTTTTAGTACTTAAAAATATTTCATATGTATTAACTCAAGACATGTTTCCTTATAGTCAATTGTACCTACTATGTTTTGCAGACTGTGTACCTGAAGAAACTTTATGCTCTAGAACCTGCTGATTAAGCACTAATTATGCCAGGATCACTCCCTTCAGAAATATTGGGGAAGTAGGAGTAAATAACCTCCATTAAAGTTGTCATCCATGCCTCCTGTGTGGAAAGCAACTCTGGGTTCCGAGGCCATGGTAGCCCCAGCACAAAATCTGGAAGGTCCTTATAAACAAATTTAGAAAGGTTTAGAAAACAGGCTAGGTAATAAACTGAACTTGTGTCTGCCATCTAAGCATAAAGACGTGGAGAGACAGCCTCATTTAGCAGACAAGTCACTTAACCTCTCAGTGTTTCAGACAATTCTCTAAAATTTTTAAGTTCCAGCCGTTGAAAACCTGTAATTCTAACAGTAGAAACCCAGATCCAGTCTTTATCCCCTCTCTGATGCATCATTATTTTACTGATGCATTTACTTATGGTTTTCTATTTATACCTCATTACTGTTGAGGTTCAGGGGCTTAGGGGTGCTGGGACCCCAAAATCACCACACACAGGCCCTGTCCAAAAGAATTCGACCCAAGCCTTCTTTCAGCCAAAGACAAGGTTTATTAGAACATCCTCCATATTGACCAGACTCTTAAGGAATCTGAACATTAGTGTGTGGGACAAGTGAAAGTTTTCATGTGAGATGTAAGCTATGCTACAAAAATGTAGTAAGGCTTCAGCATGAGCTGGGCCTAAGTTTTACTTTCATTTTTGGGGAATGGGGCTCTGCACCAGCTGCCCATTCCACTCCCTTGTTTTGTACCCACCCCCTCTTTTGTTTTGTACCTTATCTTTACCAAATAAGGTAATCCTCTAGCTCCTAAGCTTGTTTTCAGTAAAATGTATCTCTTGGGTTCTAAATATAGACTGTGAGGTCTCTTGCCTCAACCAATGAGGATAAAGAGATTGAGAGAAACAAGTGGGGAGGGGGGCATTTTGGAGTGGTTTGTCTAAGAGTATGTAACTGCTTGCTGCTGTTTGTGCTGGGCCTCACTACTCCAGTGCACCCTGGGTAGGTGACACCTAACTCCCCCGAGAGACTTGCTAAAATAAAACCTTCTGTTTTCTCCCTGGAGAAACCTCTGAATTTTTATTTGGGTAAGTGGTCTCAATCCCACTCATTAGTGAGCTATCGGCTGGATTATAAGAATCCGAGCACCTTACTGGAGATAAGATGGACCTTATACACAGAAAGACTGTGGGAGGGATGTAGGAGTGGCCAAGTAATTTGAGGTGACTGGAGGAGGGGTCTAAGGAACCTCTGGATGGGAGTGGCCAGTAAGCTCCAGTGAACAGAACGCCTGGGACCTGGACCATGTGGCTAGGGGAGAATGGAATTTGACTGTGGGAAGTGGCCTGGGGCCGTAGGGTGGGGTAAGACAATAAGCTAGGTGAAGGGTAACAGAATTGGGAGATAAAGTTTAGGCAATAACAAAAGGCCGGTTGATGGGATTATAGCCTGAGCCAAAGGCCAGAGATTTGGCCATGTGGGAAAGTCCAGGGTTTTTCCTTTTTGAGGTCTAGATCCTTTCCTCATCAATTACCACAAGTAGCTTGGATGGTTGAATAAAAAGTGGAAGATTTTAGTTGGGTCTTAAAAGAAAGCCAAGGGAAGCAGTAGGCAGGTGAGGAAGGAGAGCATTCCAGGCACAAGAGACAGAGAAAATGCCAAGAGCAGAGTTGGAGTGTCCTATTCCAGGAACAACAGCCAGGAGGCCACTGGTCACTGGAATACTTGGTGGGGGGTAAAGTGTAAGAAGACTGGAAAGGTAGAGGGGTTATGAAGGGATTTGAATGCCAAACAGAGGATTTTAGTTTCAATCCTGGAGGCAGCTGGGAGCTTCTGAAGTCTTTACTTGTGCTTTAGTTCTTAAAAGCAAAAGCAAAGCCGGAATTAAAAGCAGCAAAACCTCAATTCCATGTAAAACAGCCATTTATTTCAGTGGTAGTGCCCTGGGTGTCGTATGAAAAGCCAACAAAAATACTCCACGAATTCTGAGCTTCCTACAAAGGATGCTCTTAGAATTAGAAGGGCTTAAGTGTCCACAGGTAGAATAATGCAGAGATTTAAAGAACAAAGGCCCCAGGAGGTGGTACACTGTAGGTGGGCTGGGCTTGACCAATGGGAAGTAAGTGGATTGTTCCAAGAAGACCCCAAAATCAAGATAAGGGTCGAGCCAGCTCAGACCAGTTAGGGTCAACCTGAGGACACCTGAAAAGTGCTAGTGCCCCTGCTTAATGAACTTCATTACTACTATCTGACACACCCCGCATAAAATTAGAACCTCATTAACGAGTCATGGGACGTATGACCAAGGGAGGGGGAACATACTCGAGCATATCAAGGGGAAACATGTAAGGAAAGGTGTAACCTGGGAAGGGTTGGACCAATCCCGGCCTGGGAGGTTTCCCGCCGAATTTAACAGCATAAAAGCGCACTTTCCCTTGCACTCAGGGCCCACCCCTCCTGAAGAGGGGTGGAGCCCGCTTCTGGCCAGAAACGTCTAAATCCTCTGGACTTTCTTTATAATAAATTTTCTTGATACTAAATTTTTGGTGTCAAGTCTATTTCTAACAGATGCCTTTCCTGATCTCTCCAGTTATTCGCAAATTCTTCCTCCTGATTCTCGTAGACATGTTTGCCTCCCCTCCCCATGGAAGCGTCTTGAGAAGACACCATTTAGTTTGTGTCTTTCATAAATGTTTATTAAATTGAAAGACTACAGGAGACCTGGCAGGTTTTCTTCAGTGCTGATGCCTTGTTATATATATAGTGGTATGCAGTGGGAAAAGTTCTGGGTCAGGACTCAGAGCAAGTCACTTCATCTCTAGGGGATTTACCTTCTTTTCTTAAAATTTAAAGGTTTAATTGATCAAAGTCAGGTCTCTTCCACTACTAAATCTGTAACCGTGTGCTTTCTAGCAATGTGTACTAACATTGCTTTTGAGACACAAAAGAAGAACTCATAATTGAGCACCTTCAGTCATTTATCAGTTAATTACCTAATTAGCACCACACAAGCAAGTTAATACAGCCCAATCTTTGTATTTGGCAAACTGCACACGTCAGGAGAGGCACTGACAGAAACATGCTTTCACCTCCTTCCTTTCCTCCGGGTTACGACCGTAAAAGGGCAAAACTGGTTGGAAAGTGAGGGGGAAAAAAGCCCTGGGAAGAAAGGAGTTAACAGGAGCAGCAGGCACGGACTTCGGCCCCAGTGTTCGGGAGGAACCGGGGCAAAGTTGAGAAGACCCCAGACAAAGTCACGCGCAGCACGGCCCCGGCCCCGCCTCTCCCTTTTTAACCCGCCCCCTACTCGCCCTCGCCCCGCAAACGTGTTTGTCTGTAACCCAAAGCGATGGCGCTGCGAACCGGTCTGTGGGCGCCTTGGGCCCTGCGGCCTTTTGGCCTCCCTCCTCAGCGGGTAAGGCCGGCCTCTTTCGCCCTGGTTGCCGCGGGGACGGGAGGACGGGGCAGGGCTGGCGTCGCAGCTCCGGGCGCTGCAGCTGCGAGCGAGGCCTGCGGGGCTCGAGGGCCACGGAGGGGCTGCGAGGGGGGCTGCGGCGGAGAACGCGGCCATTTTCTTGAACCTCCTCGCGTCCCGCCTTCTCCCGTCCGCTCTTTCCCCTCACCCCCCACCCCACACCACCCCCCAACCCCGCGGCTGCGTGTGTTAGCCGGAAAAAGGAAAGTCCTTTGTTGAACCTTGTATGCCTCCTGCTCAGTTGGGGGGCTTTGGTGCTCGCATTTAAAATTAGATCAATTTAAATATGTAGGAGTTCCTGCTCCCTCCCCCGCGGGTGGAGAGAAAGTGCCCTTTCCCCATTCTCTCGGACTCTTCGCCCCTATGCACCCCCCACCTCTCCATTCCAGAGTCGACCAGAACTCGGAAAAACTTGAAGCAAACAGAAAAACCTCGAGTGGTGAAGGCGACGGCTCTCCTCTGCCTTTGGGGAATTTGGGCCACTGTCTAAGTGAACTAAAGAATAAGCATTTATTGAGCGCTTACTGTTTGGAAAGCACACAGCAGCATAGTAATTCATTTATGCTGGTGATTTCAGTTTACAAAGTACTTGGTTAAAAAAAAAAAGCAATACAAAGAAACAAAACAAAAACCCCTGTGAGGTAGTAGGTTGTATTATTCTCAGATGAAACTGTGACTTCTGAATAGTCATACATAGAGTGTGCGTGAATGAGTGAATAATAGCTCTCTTCTTCCAAAGACCTGTTAGTTGTTGCCTTGGTGACCTGGGGCATTAAGGGACTAGCTGGTATCTTAGTCTTCCTGACTCCTGGTTGTACTGTAAATTGCCCTATTAGAATATAAGCTTCTCGAAGGCATGGGCTGTCTTGTGTGCTTGTACACACAGCACTTGGCATAAGGCCTGGCACATGGTAAGTGCTTAATAAATGCTTTGTCTCGTTCTCTTTTCCCACCTACCCCTCTCACCTCCCCGCTGCTGCTTGAAGAGTTTGGAATTTTTATTTTTTTTGAGTAAGAAGGGTTTTATTTTTTGAACAAGATTTATTCATGTGTATAGGATATGTTTATTATTGTTTTCTCCGTATAAAGACAAAGTTTTGGGAATACAAAGAATTAAGATAATTTGTTTATTAGTTCACACGTAAAGGACAAAATTATTAACTCAGTGTAGTAGAAAAAAAGTAGTGAAGTTGACACACCTACCAGCTGTTGGACCATAGGCAAGTCACTAAATCTCTCTTAGCCTCAGTTTCACAATCTGCTTCATGGGCATAATAATTTTTGTAGGTACGTAATTATAGAGCTGGAAGGGACCTAAGAGACTGTCTTGTCATACTTGTTCATTTTACTTATGAGAGACTGAGGCCCAGGGCAGTTAAATGAATTACCCAAGGTCGTACCAGTAGTAAGCATCAGAGGTGAGATGTAAACCTAGGTCATCTGGTTCTAGAACCAGCAGTGTTCTTTTCTCTGTTATTATTCTGCCTCCCTAATAATAATTTACAAAATGCTTTACACACATTTTCTCGTTTTAGCTTCACAACAACACTGAGGTAGTTGTTGTTATCCCAGGTTTATAGAATATGAAACTGAGTCTGATCCAAAGAGGTTAATAACTTTCCTAAGGTCACCAAGCTAGAGGCATGATACAAATCAAGGGCCGTGGTTGTCCAGGCTCCAAGAACAGTGCTCTCTGAGTACACTGTCACTACAGTGGCAGGAAGTACAGGCTTTGAGGGGGTTAGTTTCTGAAATTAGCATGTAAACTGAAAATCCTTGTCTGGTTAAAAATTATACTCTTTCTGCAGTACTTCATCAAGGTGAACAGCCTCTGGAAGGTTAAAACAATGTAGATCAGGGTAACTGGCAAGCCGTAGCCAAAGCTGTGGGATAGTGATTGGCTCTCCTGACTGACGCCTAAAGCTCCGAGGTATGCAGCTGTTGCCTCTTTCCCTAGTGGGAAAGGTTTGAGACATTAGGGGACAAAGGGCAGATTTATGTTTCCCATTTCTGGGCTCCTCAGGTGCCTGAGGTTATTGATTGGAACAGGAGTGGGGAAGAGGAATGTTGGAAGTGTACAATGCAGATTCAACTGAGTAAACATTTAGTAAGTTCCTACTCTGTGCCAGGCATAGTCTTAGGCAGGCATTTTTAACCTGAGGTCCATGAACTTGTCCATTTGAGAATATCTCTTGTGAAAGCCTGCTTATTCTTACTAGTATCCTTATAGAGAACGTCTTCAGTGTTGGTACAGATGACTCTTACAAGGATTTTATATAAATGAGAAAGTAGTTGGTATTCTCTTGATTGCTTTTCTCTAGTATTTATAAGGTTCAAGATTTTTTCCATGCCTTCCTTATCTTTCCCTACTTAGGGTACTGTCTATATTAATACCTCAACACCCCATAATTTTGTCGTGTCCAGCACAGATCTTCTCTGTGTACTTACACTTGGTCCGCTCTGGCTGCTTTTCCCTCTTTGTTCTGTACCATTCCTACCTCTTCCAGAAGCATGTCTGGGACTGTGATGTAGTGTAGTTACTTCATCCTCTTTGAGGATGAGAAGAAATTGTAACAGTAATCTTTGCAGAACTTTGCTATTTTTCTCACGTTTGTAGTCCTTGCATTTCTGTCCTTTTATGTTTTATACCTTACTCCCTATCACATACTCTTCGATTAAGTGACACTGCCCGTCCGCCTTGCTGTTCCAGGAACAGGACACTCCATCTCATAGCTCTGGGCATTTTCTCTAGTCTTTCCATGCCTGGAGTATTCTCCTTCATCATCTCTGCCTATTGCCTTTCCTGGCTTCCTTTAAGTCCCAACTAAAATCCCATCTTCTCCAGGAAGCTTTTCCCAAGCCTTCTTAAATCTAGAGCCTTTCCTGTTTCTCATGTAGATAACTTGTTTGTATATATTTGTTTGCTAGTGATCTCTCACATTAGATTTGTAAGCACCTTGAGGGCTGGGACTGTCTTTGCCTCTTTTTGTATCCCCAACACTTAGAACAGAAAGTGTCAATAAAATAAATAAATAAAATGTATGCAAAAGCACTTTTTAAACTTTTCAGTGGTGCACAAATATGTTGTTATTGCCAACGATTTTCTCTTATTCCTCTCCTACCCCTCTGCCCCCCTCCAAATCCATCAAAAAACATACCACACAAATAGAAATCCATGGTAGAGCTTTTGCTGTAGTAGAAGAAGATTTTCCATTTTTGCTAAGTAATGACAGTCATCAGCCTACACACAAACTCACTGATTCATCATCTTAATGTCATAATTCTGGGGAGGCAGGTTGCAGTCTTTAAGCAAAATTACCATTTCTGTAGAAGTAGTTTATTGTAGGTTGCTCAGCTTATTATGCCTAGGCAAAAATGGGAGAGACAAATAAATTTCTTTGTCAGCAGAAAACTAAAGAAGTAATAGTCCACTTACACTTTTGCATTGCACATTGGCAAATTCATGTCCCAAGTTTTATCGAGTTTTCAGCTTAGTTTTTAAGGTATTGAGGAGCTCATATTTTGCTTGGGAGGGGACATAAAAGTACTTTTTTATGGGAAAACAGTAATGGGTTCCAACTTGAGGGAAAAAAATGGTTTGCTTTTGTTTTAAGGCTTGATAGCTAATGTATAAAAGTATTGGACTTCCACCTTCGCTAAAGTAATCATAATAACTCATGTTTATATAGTACTTTTCTCACAACAGCCCTATTAGAGTAGAATCTACTCAGTAGATTGTTCAAGTATTATTAGTCCCATTTTAAAGGTTAGGAGAAGCCTAACTAGGAAACTGTGAGTTCAGGAAAACCTGAGGTCTCATCACACGTCTTATTGGCAATTGGGAGTGGTAGCAGAGTCCATATGAGGTGGTAATAGTAACCACAGTAGTTGGTCACCCAGCAGCAACCTGGAGATGAATGTATCTAGGACAATGCAGCATCTGGAGAGATGCTTAACAGATGATTAGCTTAGCCCAGATGCAGTTGTGCTCAGCAACGAGCCAGGGCAGCCCTGATATCCTCCCCTTCCTTGGCACCTCACAGAGCTAAACAGTGATTTTCACAAGGATCTCCCAATTAGTAATGTCAGACCCAGGATTTGACTTCATATTTGCCAACTCTTGTAGTTTAATCATTCCACTTGGATACAACTGGAATCCAACTCTTCATGACTGCGTTTGGGGTTTTCTTGGCAAAGACACTGGAGTGGTTTGCCATTTCCTTCTCCATTCCAACTCTGTACCAGTATTCGTTCTGCTACACCACATTCTTTCAAAGATAAATATTGTGCAAAACCTGAAGAACTGAATACGTGGAAAATTGTATATGCTATAAGACTGGTTATATGTTGGTAAGTTTTTCTAAACTAACTTTTTTTAAAGTTCCTTTTTTATTCTGTTATAAGGAATGGCTTGCTGGATAGGGGATGGAGGGAAATGGATATATTCGGCAACAAAATTGATACAAAAATAAAATATTTAAATAAAAATTAAAAGTGGCCAAGAAGATTAAATATTCCTTGGAGCAGGACTATAATAATAAGTTGATATCTTTGGGGTCTGTTTTCAGTTCCCACAGAAACATTTGGCCTTTTTTTATTTAAACCCCAAGGAGCAAAATTTTAGATGAGAGACCATAGTGGAGTGCAACAGGTGTTGACTACGGAGTCAGGAAAGACCTGAGTTGAAATTCTGCCTCTGCACTTACTAGCTGTGTGTGTGACCATGGGTGAATTACTTAATTTTTTCTGAATTTCTGTTTTCTCTCCTGTAGTATGAGGCTAATAATGCCTGTAGAACCAATCACACTGTTGTATATCACCCCATCTAGAGTTACCCAACTAGTCATCCACAGTTACAGGTTGGGGATCCCACAGGGCAGCTGATTACTACTCTTTCCAAGTTCTATTAGATAACCTAGGAGGTATAGTGAGATTTTTTT